ATTGCCTTGAAGATGGCCTTTTTTATTTTGTGAGGACGGATCCTAATGATCATTTGCGGCTAATAGTGCCTTCTATCTTTATTCCGCGGTTTCTCCATGCCTACCATGATTCTCCTGTTCTAGGTGGGCATATGGGACATCATCGTGTGACCGAGAAGCTACGTAGGTCTTTCTATTGGCCGGAGATGCGATGTGATATTATCTGATATGTGCGTAGCTGCATTTGGTGCCAAGCTCGTAATACTCCCCCTTGTGCTACAAAAAAACAGTTGGAGTCAATTGCAGTTTCCTGTCCGTTTGAGTTGGTGGTGTTTGATTTTATGGGACTTTTTCCACAGTCGACTGCTGGCAATGAATATGTTATTATTGCTTCTGATTACTTGACTCATTGGGTGGAAGTTGGTGCTCTTGCTAGCGCCTCTACAACTGCTGTTGGATACTTCCTCCTCAATCGAGTGGTGTTCCAGCATTCTTGTCCAGAGCGGATTCTTTTGGATAATGATCCTGCATTTATGGCTGAGGCATTTCATGTTTTGAAGTCTCGGTTGGGGATATGCCACACTTTCACGAGTGCTTATCATCCACAATTAGACGGTCTAGTGGAACGGCTCGTTCGGACATTCAAAGGGATGATTGTGAAGTATATGAACTTTCAGCATTTGGATTGGGATGGTTATTTGTCGTTTCTTCGGTATGCCTATATCACAGGGGTGTAGAGTTTTGTTGGTGCTTCACCGTATAAACTTCTATATGGTCATAATCTAATATTATCAATGGAGCTGAGTTTACCTTCGCAATTGCCACAAGCACCCGATGCTAAGTCATGGGATTAATATTTGATGAGCATTCTTCCACTTGTCCGAACAGAGTTTGCCAAACACTTAGGCCGCGTACAAGTGGGACAACAACGGCGCTACAACTCCCATCATCATCCACTTGCAGAGTACAAAGTGGATGATTTAGTGTTTATCTAGTTTCCCTATCTTACGGTACGTGGTTTATCTAAGAGGCTCCTTGCGCAGTGGAAAGGACCGTATCGGGTGTTGTGGCAAGTTGAACCACAAGTTTATGAGGTTCGGCATGATGTCCAATAGGCCGATCCTTTGGAGATTATGCATGTGCAGCGGTTAAAACGCTTCATACAAAGGGATCAGGAGCAGTTCATACCATCTATAGACCCGCCGATGCCTCCTCCTGACGTTCCTCCAGATCCCGGTCTGTCTACAAGAGAACCCTGATGGCCTTCCATTATTTCGAGAGGAGGGGATGATGTGAGGGCCAAGTGTACGGCTACGATGCCGTATACTAATATTAGCGTAGTGGGATTTTAGTAGCTGTCGGATTGTTTTCAATCTGGACCACTCGCTTCTGTATATAAGCTAGGGTTTTTGGGCTAATTGATAGGCACATTTTTGTATTCCCTTTCCATATTCCATCCACTCACAGACTTAATTGATAGCAATATTTATAATATATATGTAAACTTTTGAATTTGGACTTTCTGAGGTTACTCAACCCAATATGTCGTAAGACCTTTAACGAAAGTTAAGAGTTTTAACTTTATTGACACCCTACCCCTAACTAATTGAAAATTCTTAAAAGGTCACTCAATCTAGTATATCCTAAGACCTTTAATGAAAATTAAGAGTTATAGCTCTCTTGACACCCCTCAAGTCAAGCCCAATTAGAGAAAATTAGACCATCAAATATTAATTTTAACATACAGTGTAATTCTTTTAACCAACTAACAAAATTGATTCCCTTAACCAACCAACAAAATCAAACTCAAGACCCCTCTGATACCAAATATAAACTCTTGAATTTAAACTTTTCAGAAAGTCACCCAATTTAGTATTATTTAAACCAAAGACATTTAACCCTAACTATCCCAAAACCTTTAACCAATTAAACAAATGGATGCACTCTTATTCATAGGTGTAGCACACCTGAATTTGGAGCTGAACTCCAAACCCATTGCATTGCATAATAAGGGTCTAATATAATCCTATGAGCACCGACTCCCCATATGTAGCACTTACATGCAAAATGGTATCAGATGATGTCTGGAACAATTTTGGTATATCGGTGGCTTAACATGAGGAGAAGGGTACCCTGCATTCCAACCATTATCCCTACTATACATTTGAAACCCCCCATAATTTCTATATTCCGTAGATATGCTAAATTAGCAAATTTAGATACTTTCCATAATTAGCTAATGAAATGAAATGAGACCAATATAAAAGGCATGATAATGAAGGTGTTTGGCAAACAAAATAAGCTATCATGTAACAATATTAATGGACTAAACTCTATTACCAATTCTTATATTTAGCTAAATTTCTTCCGTGGGAATCCTGGGGATGACATGTACTATTTGTTTGATCAATTCATGATAGTTGCTATATATCATTCTTAGGATGATGCTTAGTGTCTATATAAATTCCTCATATATCTCCAAGAGACAATGTTACAATGGTATAATAGTTTAACTAAAACCTTCTCCCAAATGTCTTTAACATATTTGGACATATTAACAATTATAACAATGTTTTCTATCAATTGCATCATTTCTAGCAAGGGCTATTTGAGTCAGTTATGCAATTTGATATTCATTTCCTAAGTCTTTTACTTAATGTGGAGTCAAATATGTTCAAATAGATCAAATTGGGTATATTGTGGCTAATACTTCATCAAAATTTTATGAAACTTATGCATGTACTTATTCTAGCCACCTTTGATGATGCTCTTTAATTGGCACAATATTTTGAGATATTACCTCTCCCACTTGTAGTTATACATATTTTTCCTATAGGAGACAATCTTGTTTTAATAGAGGTTAATGTTGTTATTGTCTATATTCAAGGACAAGGATATGGTCATGGCCATGATGTTCATTATTTTACCTATGATGAGGTTAGCCACATGTATTTGTGTTATTAGCATTTTCTGGTTTGACATCCTCCATTTCTTAAGTGGAGACTTTGGCATCAACAATATATTGTTGGTGTTACTTCAGTAAAAGGTCTTAACACGAAGATTTTTTTAGTAAATAAAAAGTCATGTAAGTAATAGAGAGACCTTGTGTGAATAAGTTAATAACCCCTCTATCCTTTTTTCAAGAATACCATCAAATGATTCACTTGACACAAATTCATCCAATATTTATTTTTCAAGTTTAGTTTTATATTAAAAATTCCCTTGTTATCTTTTTTGTATTGGTTGATATAAGTTTTAGTTTATCTTCTATTGCTTAATTTGTTAAAATATATTGTTATTTACATTTATATCATGCAATAGAGCCAATCTTCATTCTCTATAACAATGGTTGTACACATATATATGTACAATATGAGGTAGATCTAGTTGTGTATATAGGTAATCTCAAAGTTGAGCTTTAATCATTACAAGCGGTGTCAAGTCAAGTTTTTGACTTCATACTTAATATAAATCAATTATAACACAATTATGTCAAGTATGAATTTGAAGTTTTTCCCAATTATTTTATACTCTTTTATATCTCTTCAATTCGTCTCACTTTTGTTCTATTTCATCTTTTTACTTTTACTTTTATCACTTTTATCTCTCTACCCTTTTATTCATCTTTTCCCTTTTAAAATCCTTTAAATAGTCTTTATACTACAATGGTGAATTGGCTCAAGTAGGAATATATTAATCTCTTCAACTTTGACCTATTGTTTGAAACCAAAATTGCAATGTATCATCTTATTCTGCTTATTCGATCAAGGTTGTTGTTTAGTGTTGGTGAGTGAGATTTGGTGTCTCACTTTTAAAGACTTAAGTGTTTCCAAGTTGTTATTTCTAGTGCAGTACCTGAATCCTATCACTTGGTTAAGCTTATAGAGATCCAATTTCAAGCACTGCCTTCTTTACATGTCACTCAAGCTGCCCAAGATGCTTAAGTCACCTATATATCCACTCCTTCCTCTTTACAACTGTTGACATGTTATATGCCTACTACTGCACTTCCTACCATGAGCCCTTCTAGTGACAATTAACAACCCTACTCCTCTTAGAGTGAGATAATTTAACTTTGCCCTTGCCTTTTTCAAGCATGCTTAAGGCAATTGAAATCTAGTATGTGAATCTTTTCTATTTTACCCAGTTTGCTGCTCATGAGTAAGATTTTCTTTGTGAGAGCCAACTAATGCAAAGGCTAAGCATTCCTGCATCTCCAACTCTCACAACTTTATTCCAGCTTCTAGATTTCCAAGAGCAAGTCATTGGCTCGCTGCTTTGCAAGTACATAAGCCCACAACCATTGGGAGGGTACTTGTACTCAAACCATATAAAAGACTATAGCATAGATTAACAATGGAAATAAAGAGTTCCAATGTTTTAAAGGGAATGAGTAAGTGTTTCCCAGTTTTTATTTTCGTTGCTAATCTATGCTATAGTCTCTCATGGTTTGCATAGAAGTGCCCTCCTAGATTCAGAATGATCATATATAACCCACCCTCTGATCACCATGATTTTTCTCATAAGTCTCCCTTTAGAGGGTCCTTTTCTTAGGATTTGCCACCACATTATTCTTGCCCTACTAGAATGGAGCTACATTTTGTTATCCTATCATCTTAACTTGGTGCCTAACACTCTAGAATGGATCACCTTTGTAGTGAAATCAAAATAGTCAAGTTTGACATGGGAAGCTAAAAGTTTCACAAAGTTTCTCATGTGCAGAGCCAGGAGCAAGATGGGAAGACTGACTTTGTGGCCAAGAATTGTTGCAGGATACCAATGCTATCTGAAAATGCGAGCAGAGATCCGAAATGGCATTGGATACATCAGCGTACTCAATGCTTTTAAAAAGCAGACTGAATGAACAGGGAAAAATGAAAATCGAAGAAGGTCCATATTCCTCACACGCAAAGACTTGGCGACCCTGGCTGCTCGTGGCGCTTAGCTTCTTCGTTGCATCGCAAAAGAACAGAGGGCAAGAAAATAATATTCCCGTTGCGAAGGTAGAATATTCTATCTTGACCTAAAGCTCACGGGCGAGCTAATCTTGGTGGGCGCGAGCTAGGCGGCAGCGCCTGCGCGCGAAGAATGTGACTGAATTTCGCGAGGGAGGGGGAGAAACCATGGCACAGGTGAGGCGCTCCAAGCGGCAGAGAGTGGCGGTGGATTACGCGCGCCTGGACGAGACGGGCTTCGACGATTGCACCAGGGTTCAGTACAGGAAGCTGTCGCGGGCGGTGGCCAAGTGGGACGATGCTTCTCAAGGCGAGGCCGAGATCGGCAGCCAGGGAGGCGGAGGAGGAGGCGGAGGCGGAGGGGGCCAGACTCTCGCAGCCGCCGCCGTGCCCGTCGTGGAGGCCAAGGATTTGTCACACTATGTGCACTCCACGGGCTTTAAGAACCCGTGTGTCGTGAGAGCTGTGGACGACGGTGCCTCTGCTCTTGGGCTAAGGTATGGATGCTTTCTTTTTCTTTGTTCTCGCTTACGTTTGCTAAATTCTTTTATCTCTTTCGCATTCCTGGTTGTTCTAGGCTCCCGGAGACACAATTGACTGTCGAGGATTTGGCTAAGCTGGTTGGCTTCGACCGGCAGATCGAAACTATAGATGTTACCACACAGGTATTCTTTTCTGCTTATCGTTCTTCTCACTTCTTCTTTGGGAATCAGGCTGAAGGTCCCGTGTATGCTATGGAGGATTGGGTGTCGTATTTCTCGTCGCCAAATCCAAAGAAGCCTTTACTAAACGTTGTGTCACTGGATCTGGCGAACACTCCGCTCCAGAAAATGGTGAGGCCGTAAATTCCCTCACCTTGAGCTCAAAAGTCATTATTTTTTCAGAAGGATAACACGGCATGTTCCTGTATAGGTCAGTGCGCCTTCCTTAGTGAAAGAGCTGGACCTTGTGGAGAAGGCGTGGCCTCGTAACCAGAGTACCACCATTCCAGAGGTTTGCGACTTCGTCACTGTACGCATGGCTTTACTCAAACGTAGTCTACAAATAGGTCCAGCTTTATGCGATAATGAGCGTTGAGGGTTGCTTCATGGATTTTCATCTTGATTTTGGAGGGTCCTCGGTGTGGTACCATGTTATAAGGTAGGTGCTGGTATTGTCTTCTTTTATCTGTTTGTGTAAACGCTTGTTTTACAGTGGGAAAAAGACATTTTTGATGATCCCTCCAACAAAGGGAAATCTCATGCTTTTCGAAGAATGGTCTTCATCAGATAGGCAGGCAGGTATTTAGTTTTCGATGTTAGCATTGTTTTATGAGAAAAGCGGCCTTGCAGGCTAGCGTGTTCTTTGCAGAGCGAGCTAGCGGAGGCCAGAAAGTCGAGCTCTCGACTGGAGACACTCTCCTACTGTAAGCCGTTCTTCTATTCGCTAGTTTGCACATCCATCTAACGTTTGTTTTGCTGCAGGCCTGGGGGCTGGCCGCATTGTGTTGTAACTCACTCCGACTCGATAGTTATTGGTGGAAATTTCCTGACAGGCTACAATCTGGGGCTTCAGCTCGATATATATCCTTTATCTTGTTCTTTGGATGACAGCGACAGATTCTTTTCCTTGACCTTACAATACTTGGCTGATGGAGGAGCGGCTCAAAGTTCGCCAAAAGTTTCGGTTTCCCTTCTATAAGCAGCTAATGTGGTATGTGATACTTCCATGGCAGATTTGTGTAGCTGATGTTTGAAATTATAGGTATACTGCAACTCGCTATTTACAGCTACTAAAAGATGACTCTGGCAAAGAAGAGGTTACTAGCTGGGAAAAGGAAGGTCTTCCGAAACTTGTAAGAGGTCTCAAGTTCTGGTTGCAGGTAAGATGGGTAGTGTTCATGCTTACGTTCTTACAAGACTCGTGTTTTCTTCAGTCTAAGGATGGCGGTGAGGTGCCTCCCGACATTTCTGACCCGGTTGAACTTTTGAAAGAACTCGAGAACATCTTAAAAGTGAAGGTAACAAACAAAGCGGCATTTTTATGGTGGCTCACATGCGTATGTGGCAGAAAAGCAGTTCGGATGTGGGTTTGACGAGCCCGACGGAAGGCGAGACAAGCGTAAGCGAAGGGATTCGACTTAATCTACTATAATTCTTGCATATGTTTCAGGTGAAGCCAGAAAAGGTCGAAAATGAGGAAGAAGAGGCGGAGGAAGAGCAAGAGGACGATGAAGGAGAGGTAAGCTCATACTTTCTACATGTGGTAGTCACACACCTCTCGTGCCAATGCAGGTATTGTACGATGAAAACCGGAAGGATGACGACGAGGATTTCGACGTGGAAAAGGACGGAGATGCGACCAGCAGCGACACTGACGAAGAGTTTGACGATGAATCAGAGTACTCAGAAGACAGTGATCGACCACGTCGGAAACCAAAGCCATACTCTCGAGGAGGACGAAAGGTAAAAGTCTCGATACTCTTCCCGCGCGTGTTTAGATATCACAAGAGCTCGAATTCCAGGAAGTAAAGTCGGCCTCGGTGTCGAAGCTAATGCACGGAACGAAGCCATCGCCGGTGAAGAAAGCCTCAAACACCAAAGCCAACACGACCGTGAGGGAGCGATTGATGAAGAAGATCGGAGTAGATCCGAGGATGCCTTTCAATCCCAGGCAGCAAAAGCCGAGGCAGCGAGAAGAAAGCCCCCCTCCAGAGGAAGAAGAAGGCGATGAAGGAGACGAATTCGATGGGGAAGAAGCCGCGAGGATTTAAGAGAATAAGAACCAGTCATATGCTTATGCTTCATTTGGATGTATAGAATGTATTCTATCGTCTGGACAATAGCTAGCTAGCCCGGTCGCGAGGTCGAATCTAGGGAGGCCGCGAGACCAAATATTTAGCCAGGTGGAAAGATGGGAGACATGGCATTGAGGGTTTCGGTCCCTTGTGTGTCGCGGATCCACAGGGCGGCGCTAGCGTCTTCGTCTAATCGCTGCTCTTCTTCTCTTCAATCCACATCGCTGCATTCCAGCTGCGCGAGGATCGTCGGGCGCTGCATTGATCGAGCTCCCGCTGCTGGTATGGATTTTCTACTCCATCGGGCTTGGATTATCGATGGCTTTGGTGTTGCAGGTGGTTTCCGGCAGAGGATCAGAGGTATGGCGTCTACCGAAGCGGCGGAATTGGACACTGGAAAGGAGAGCGTTCTGGAATGGGCACAAAAGGATAATCGCCGCATGCTACATGTCGTGTACCGTGTTGGCGATTTGGATAAGACGATCAAGTGAGTTCTTCGGTTGCTTTTTTTTTTTTTTTCTGTGGGATCATCTTTGCTTTTTGTCCTTAGATTTTACACCGAGTGTCTTGGAATGAAGCTCTTGCGCAAGCGTGACATTCCCGAAGAGAGGTACACGAATGCTTTCCTGGGTTATGGACCCGAGGACAGTCACTTCGTCGTAGAGCTCACATACAGTAAGTTTATCTCAGACCTTTTCTCTCAATGCGCTGTTTTGATCAATTTCTTTTTGCAAGACTATGGAGTTGATAAGTACGATATTGGAACTGGATTTGGACATTTCGGGATTGCTGTCGAGGACGTGAGTGAGTTTGAGATTCATAGCTGTGAGCTCATATGAAACTACAGGTGTACAAAACCGTGGATTTGGTTAAAGCCAAAGGTGGGAAAGTCTCGAGAGAGGCGGGTCCTGTCAAAGGAGGATCCACTGTGATAGCCTTTGTGGATGATCCCGATGGATACAAGTTCGAGCTTATTCAGAGACCAGCGACCCCGGAGCCTCTGTGTCAAGTCATGCTGCGTGTTGGTGATCTCGATCGATCCATCAGCTTCTATGAGAAGGTATATCAACATGCTTAAGCCATTCGTGCCTTTCTGCATGGTCTTTTGTTCCAGGCGCTTGGAATGAAGCTCCTCCGCAAGCGTGACAATCCCGAGTACAAGGTAAGCTTAAAGTTTCTCGCCTCATGCTTCTATGCTTGTCTCGTGCGCGAGTGTGCAGTACACGCTTGCGATGATGGGATACGCGGAGGAAGATAAGACCACTGTGATGGAGCTGACTTACAACTATGGTGTTACCGAGTACACCAAAGGAAATGCTTATGCCCAGGTTCGTGCATCACTCCATCTTTGGCCTTTATAGTTTCTCGCTCTCTCTCTCTAGATTGCTATTGGCACGGATGATGTCTATAAAACTGCTGAAGCAGTCAAAGTTTCTGGTGGCAAGATTACTCGCCAGCCAGGCCCTCTTCCTGGCATCAGCACGAAAATCACAGCTTGCCTCGATCCGGATGGCTGGAAGACTGTAAGCTTTTCCTGATGCATTGTTTCTCGATCCATCTCACACGACTATTTTGTTCCCTTTCCTTTATCCTTCAGGTCTTCGTTGATAACAAGGACTTTCTCAAGGAACTCGAATGAACTAGAACTGCAATTTTCAGTGCCTAATCGCTTTTAAAAAATTAAATATGAATTCCAGCCAAACCTGGTTTGTATACATCATTGTTCCTGCTCATGGAGCAGCTGTGAGGAGGCATCCTTGGTGGTTGTTCTCACCGCTATGACCACCAGGAGATTTGAGCACATATCCAAGCTTGTGCTTGGTTCAAGGATTATACCCCAATAAGAGCTTTGGGAACGAACCACACCTCACCTCCACAGTCCTCTTGACGATCTCATAAGCACCTCTTGGCGGTTGGCGCTGAGCAATATTGCGGATGAGGAGAAAAGTGGGTGAAAAAATTCTGATGCTGGATTGCCAGGCTGGGCTATGAGAAGAGTCATCCAGTGGCTCGCGAAAATCAGTGAAGTTTCGCCACGTGCTTAAACATAAAAAGAGGACGTGAGTTGTTGATAATTTGGAAGAATAATTGTGAGAGGTGGACATGTCAATACAGTATAAACAGTTTATGCGACACCTTGTAATGATATTCTCAGTAAGTATGAAAATTAGTGAAGTTTCGCCACGTGCATAAACACTTAAAAGACGACGTGAGTTGTTGATAATTTGGCAGAATAATTTTGAGATACAGTATAAACAGTTTATGCGACACCTTGTATAAACAGTTTATGAATGAACGATTAAAGTTCAAACGATTTATCGGTCACCCTTTGTAAAGCTATTGACAAAATGGGAATATAATGGAGTTAAAAGGTCGGATTTCTTGCCCGTTCTGCGTCTATCATTAACGTGAAGAAGCAAATTTGTTTCGATGCGGATTGCCGGGCTAGGTCAAACACACGTATAAAAGTACGGAAAATAGTTAAACATCTAAAAGAAGACGTGAGTTGCTGATAGATTAATGAGAGGTGGAGGACATCATTACTTTTAGTGTCAACGTCGAATGGTTATTATAATGTGCAAATTTCTTGAGCTTTTTATATTCTCAATCAAGACAAACGATTTATCGGTCAGAAATCTGTTTCTTTCTGCGAGGCTCGCCACAAAATGGGAATATATTTGACTACGTAAAATGGACGGTCGCAAGGTCAGATTTCCTGCCCGTTCTGCGTCGATCAATCAAGGTGAAGGAGCTGCTAGAATTTGTTTCGATCCAATCACGACCTTCGTCAAATTGTTCGCTTGGCACGGTGATCGAGAAAAGGCACAATCAGACGGCTACACGCTGATATTACGGTTAGGATTTCTGTGCCCCTAGAAACTTCTTGCTCGAAGGATAATAATGAATCAAGATATTCACAGCTGGGGGGTTTATACTCATTATTGTATTCTAAGTATAAAAGGTATACATCATTCTCTTCGTTTTTTCTCTCCCGGATCTCTTTCCTTCTGGTTTTCTTCGCTTGGCTATGGCTTTCGCTCGGCTCTTCCGTCCTTTCGTTTGTTCTTTCTCTGTTAGGAACTTCGGATCTCGTGGTCGTGGATGGGAAACAAGCTTCACTCGTTTGTTTTAATATGTCTTTGTTTCTTCTTCCTTTCTCATAGATCCTCTTTGCATTTCAGATGTGGAGCAGTCCGAGCACAGTGTGATCCTGGGGACAGGCCAAGACCAGAGGATCTGGCGTAGCCAGACCCTGGTCATTGCCCAACAAGCTCCAGCAGCTGACAACGAGAACATGGATGCTGGCGCTCCTCTTGCTGCTCACGGTGGCGCTCCTCCTGTTGCTAACGGTGGCGCTCCTCCTGCTGCTCAAGGAGGCGCTCCTCTTGCTGCTAACGGTGGCGCTTCTCCTGCTGCTCACGGTCCTGCTGCTGACGGTGGCGCTCCTCCTGCTGCTCACGGTCCTGCTGCTGACGGTGGCGCACCTCCTGCTGCTCGGGACATGCCCTCGCCGTCGTCGGCCACCGCCGAACAAGCTGGATCCCCGATGTCTACGTGGGACTGGGACGCGTCTTCATCGTCGTCGGCCACCTCCGGGCAAGGTGGATCCCCAATGTCGTCGTGGGACTGGGACATTTCTTCGTCGTCGTCCTCGGCCACCTCCGAGCAAGCTGGGCAAGCTGCTGGGTCACCAATGTCGTCCTGGGACACGCCCTCGCCATCGTCGGCCTCATCCGGGCAAGATTCACAGATGTCTTTGAGGGACGCGCCTCCGCCGTCGTGGGGATCTCCTGTGTCGGTTAGTTGTTCTTTCTCTGTAATGTCACTGGAAATTCTTGTTTTCTTATTAGGAAACCGATTCTTGGTCACCTGGCGTGGGCAACGGCGAACCGGGCGGTGGGAACGGACCCAACAATCGCGGACCCGACGGTGTGGACGGACCCGACGGTGCTGGCGGGGCGGAGGGACCGAACAACGGCGCGGGCGGCGGAAATAGTAGCAACGGTGCGCGCAATGGCAACGGTGGTGGCGGCAATGGTGGGAATGGTGGTGGCGGCGGACTCGGCGGGGGTGGTGGCGACAGCGAGACTTACGTGGACCCGGAATGGCTCAACTACTGATAATTCGTGTTTTGTAAACTTTTTTGCTCGAAATGAGAATCGACGTCGTTCCAGCCATGGTAGCCGGGCATAGACGGTTTTGCTGGGCTGGGCCGAGGTGCGTATCATCAGGCACTGGGCTCCAGCCGGCACGATATATCCGCTGGTGTCGTGTTCAAGTACTCTCCTCTCCACGGTTTCTACGCCATGCAAACATCGAAAAGTTCGGTCTAGCTTTTTGGAGTTACGATGCGGAGGCAGTGCCTTGACGATCTTCCAGACGAGGTGCTCATTCGGATCATGTCTCTCCTCGCCTGGTCGCGCGACTTGAATCCCTCGTCTCTGGTAAGCAAGAGGTGGGCGCAGCTGGCAAGGCTCGTCACGCACTACTCCTTGGAGTCGAGCAGTCGTGATGTGGAGCAGGGGCTCATCCGCTGGTTTGGCCACAACGATCTTCGCCAGTTATCCATTCGGTTCCAGCAAAGTTGCACTCGCTGGCTGCACCAGATCGGGAAAGGGCTCCACTCAGTCACCATCTACGGAGGTCCGCAGCACAAGTTCGAGGACTTCTGGTCCAATATCTCGGCGTGTCAGGAGCTCCGCTGTCTCCACGTCCACGTCACACAACTCGGCTCCACGCTCGGCAATGCAACCTTGCCTTCACCGCTGCTGCCCAATCTCCTCTTCCTCAGTTTTCACAGACCGATCAACGTGACTGTGCTGCAGCAGCTGCTCGAGATCTGCCCCTCCCTTCTTGTAGTGCGGATGAATACGATAGTGGTGAGCTCGCCCGGTATGTAAAGCTAACCCGATTTCCCCAGTTTGGGCATTTTTTGCTGTCAGCTTGCATTTCTCAAGTATGTGACTTTATAGGTACCTACGTGCTCAAGAGCCGCAGCCTTGACAGCTGCCAGTCGGAATTCTGCGAGGGTGATGGACGCGACAACTTTACGCTTGCACTTGACACACCAAAGCTCCGGTGGATGTTCTTTGTCGTTCCGCGCATCCAACTGCAGCCCACTACATGCAACGTAGAGTGGATCCGGGTGAGAGAGAGCATGCGGCATATCCAGGGGCTGCGCTACTCCAGGCTCAAAAAGATCATCTTCCTCAACCCGTTTAGCAGCCCTGCCCAAGTAATGGACAAGGTAGCTTTGTGTAGAACGTTGAGCCTGAAGAAGTTCTATTTCTGCATCTTTGACGATGGCATTCCACCCTGCTCTATTGATCTTGTGGCCCTGCTGGAGCCGTTCCAGGGCCTTGAGGAGTTCATTGTCTCTTTTATAAGTATCAAGGTGAAGCTTTTGCTTTTTGTTCCAATGCCTCACGGTGTGTGTGACTAAATGCAGCAACTATACGTTGCAAACTGGAGCAGCATGGAGAAACCCTTGACAGTTAGAGTCGAGTTCGTCCACACCAAGCACATCTGGGAAAGAAACGGTCTGGAACTGGAGTTCGTCCGTGGGCTGGTGGAGAGAAGCAGCGGCACAAAGGTCGAGCTAAAGTGTGTCTACTGGACTAACAAAGATGCTAGTCCACAGATTCCTGCGCTGCTCGAGGAGTTTGCGAGAGAGCACCCAGGACGTGTCAAGCTGCAGCCCCTGCAGTGGGTGCCCCGGAGCGACTGCGGCATGCTGTGGCGATCTTGGCAAGAAAGTGTTGAGTCGGAAGCTCCCTACGCTGCAATCGATCACTGGTGCAGAGGGATGCACGAGTCGCATTCGCACATACCATGCGGCTGGCAGTAGCTATCATGAGCATCTATCAATCAACATGAATCACTGAGCAGCAGAACGAAGTAGAAGACAACACCAGCCCAGTGTAGTCTTGGTGTTAACTAACACCAGACTATACATGATATTACAAAGCCATTTAGATTTAAAAATCAACGAGAAGCATTATTCATAGACGAAGTCACAAACATCTGGAATGGATGTTACACAATGTTAGTAGAGGCTTTTCAATTCAACCAATCCTCCGTGGTATACATGGGACCTTCAGGCTAAATCGCAGGAAGTGAGAAGAACGAAACTTGAATAGATAAACATCAATCTGCTGGTCGAAGCCAACCAGCTTAGCCAAATCCTCAGCAGTCAATTGTGTCTCGGAGCAAGTTACAGCTTGGATACGAAGCGATCCAGGTGCTTCTCATAAAACTCCTCAAGACCAACAGGGCTGCAGGATCAATGAAGGTGGAATGTCCTTGGTGAAGCTTTCTTATTTGTTCCATTGGAGCACCCCTTGGCAGCTTTCTCACCCAGCACATCTGGGAAAGAACAAGTCTGGACAGGCTGATAAGACTGCTTCCCGATGTCAGGACCAGTGGAAAATTGTTGTTAATAATGTGGACATCATCTTTGATTCAAAGTGGTAAATTTTAAACTAAACATGGAAAGTATTGTTGTTTTTATGTTATTTTAATTGTGCTGATTTGATCATTAATTTGATTAGTAAACAATATTACCATGGTGATTCGATTTGAAATTGAAAATACCACTAAATCTAGATTTCTCTAAGTTTATTCTTCCACAACATTATAAAATTTTATTCAGGTTCAAAAGCAAAATCAATGCCCCTCTCCATTGCATTTAGTTGCTCCTCTTGAGAATCCTCTCACATTCTGGAGGATTTACTTCATTTCCTTGTTATTAATTTGAATTTCCACCAAGGCCTCCTTGTGTTCTTGACACTCTGAAACCTCCTCAAATGCAAGATCTAACATCTCCTCATCATCCACATCCTTGAGATTTGATGATAGAATTTCAACATCTCCTAGTCACTCATTGGAATTTCTGCCACCTCAGGAACACAATAACAGTGTGTTCTTCTCTGTTTGCAACTTCATTTTCCTCAAGTAATGTTATCATTCTAGCCATCTTCATGTTATCAATGTCAAAATCTTCCATATCCTCAACCTGGATCACTGCCCCAACTTTATTGATCTATTGACCACTCTGTTTCACTTTGACTGTTGTTGACTGGCAAACCTTTGCTTTCTAATGTGTTGTTAACTTCTTAAGTGCTGCTAAATCTTGGCCATGAGGAGAAAGCAATAATGAGCTAGTACTACAACAATATTGACTTTTTGAATTGCCTAATTGATATTCCAAATTGGAGGCCACTCTACAGTGAGGATGAAGACCCAAACAATGAATAGTTTTGGAGAAGATAGAGCCCCTTGTACACCTTGGTACTCTTCTTTAGCATCACAAATGAAAATCTAAAATATTTCCTTTTTTACAAGCTTAAGGGTTGAGAGTGTTTAAAGTTTTTGGTAAAGGGAGTTTTATTAGATATCTTTTAATTTCCACCTTTATATAATGGAATAAGAAGAAGACTCTTTGAAATTGCCATGGAAAAGTTACCTTGCTGCTCTTGTTTGTTCAAAAAGATTAATGCTTTCAGTGAAAACCTAGTTATAAGCTTAAAGGCCCACTAGTGTTCTTAGAGTAAAAAACGTTTCATCCAAATAATTTTAAAGAAAGCTTTGAATTTGTTTATATTAACCACTTCATAATCTATTCTGTGTATTTTATATGAGGTGAGCTAACCGAGATTACAGTCTGCTGGAGGAACTTGCTGGGTGTGGAAAAAAACGATCTCGTCCTCATCTTCATCCTGCTCGGCTCCAAATTCTCCAAGACCTAGTGAAGCCGTTGTGGGCATGATGTGGAGTATGTGTTGACTCGGAAGCAGAGAGTTGTGGCTATGCAAGCAAGTATGAGTATCTTTGAATCCTCGTGAATCACTGGGAGATCGGGAAGGAAGCTCTTGTATCACACAACGTATATGTCTCATTGTCTTCCTCAATGCAAGTTCCTGACTGCGCGGCCAGACTTGTACAAAGATTGATACACGGGCTTGATCCTGACGCTCACGTAGACGCTGGCGGCAGACCCGACGAGGCACACTCCAGCCATGATCAAGAACGTGAGCCGGAAGCAGTGAGCTCCAATGCACTGGTCGGCCTGCGGCCCGTCTCGCGCCTCCATGTCGTAGAGGTAGCCGGCGATGACCCCCGAGAAGAGCAGCGATCCCACCGGGTCCCCCATGGTGAGGAAGTTGTAGATCTTGCCAAAGTGCTTGAGGCCGAATAGCTCCGACGCGGTGGGAACCATGACCGAGAAGTGGACGCCGTAGCAAAAGCCCAGCAAGATGGAGCCGACGTGAAGCGAGCTCGTGCCGGCCCATGCAAACAAGAGATGCGCGACTACCATCAGGCACTGGGCTCCGGCCAGCCAGAGAGTCCGAGGAACAGCCTTCCTGCAAAGAATGCTGGTCAGTGATCCATTGGCGCTATAGAACTTCTACGAGCTGAGATCTTACCGGACGTATTTCTCCGAGATTGCTCCGCCTCCAAGCCGGCCCAGGAAGTTCCATATCCCCAGGAGTGTGACGAAGATCGTCACGTCGGTGAATCCCTGCGCCTGGCCGATCTGTCCCAGATTGTTGATGGCCGTCACACCCGACCCCACTCCACAGAAGAACGTGAAAAAGAGCAGCCAGAAGTCCGCCTTGAGCAGCGACTGCCTCAAGTTGAAGTCCTCTCCACGCCTCGGCTTTCTCTTCCTCGACACAGCGCCTTCTCCCACGGCCATCAGCACGTCCGTATCGTTTTCTATGTCGGCTTCACTCAGACTCGTCGCGCTGTCGCTGGTGCTCATCCCCGGCGGGAATTTCTTTCGATCGTCCCAGGAGAGCTCCTCCTCGGTCCGCTCGATGTAGCTATCGTCGTGCCGGAAAGTTGGCAGAGTTCTCGCGTCCTCCTCGTCAGATTGCCCGAGTTCTTCTTCGGTGGATCCTATTTGGAACTGGACGGTTTCCTCGCGCACGAGGGGCTCGCCCACGCCGCCGTCTTCTTGTTCCAAGTTACGTCTCGATGGTGGTTCCTCAGTTCTCTTAAACAACCCGAGGATAAAGAACTTGAGAGCGACGAAAACCGGAGCAAAGAGGAACAAGAGCATGACAGTGGCTATAACTCCGGAGACGATTGGATTACTCGGGAGAAAGTCCTGGACAAAAGTGGCGACGAGAAGGTAGAGCGCGAGGGACACGCAAATAACATGAACGAGAAAAAAGTTTCGTTTCTCTTCGGGTTCACGGGTGGCGTCGGGAACTGGACGAACGAAACCCATGCAAGCCACGGACACAGCGAAAGGACTGGTGGAAAGAAGCAGCAACAACGAGACCGGGTTCTTAAAGAGGAAGGACGTGTAGAGCTGGGTGAAGATGGCACCACTGAGACCAACGAAGCCTTTGAGGATTCCCACAACAGTACCTCGGCTCTGGGGGAAGTTCCGCATGGTTGTGACGAGAACCGCGGTGTTGAAGAATGTGGCACTGTTGGCACCGATGCAAATAGCTAGACACATCTGCAAAAATAAGTATATGAATACTAGAAGGAAAGAAAAAGGAAGGACTTTCAAGCTCAGAAAACGACCCAAAATAGTTTGCAAGCTTTTCCACTCTTTCAGCTCTTTTGTCCACTCTTTCGGTGACTAACTCTATAAGCGAAACGCAAAATCTAGAAAATGAAACCAGCACTTGACCAAAAAAATTGTTTTTTTTACCTCGTGCTTTGCCAGGAAATGAGAAAGAAATCCGAGAATGAAAGAGAACTTGCAACGCAAAACTTATCTCTAGAGCTCAGGAAAAACTTACTTGCCAGTATGGAAGTGGAGCGATCCTTTCACTGACGACGAGCCAAAGAACGCCATATCCGAGGAACGCCTCCAGCCCCCCAATGAAGAGGATGAGCCATGCAGGGAGCTTGTTGGAGAGATAGCCAGTGATGAGCCCCACATTCTCGCCGATGTCCTTGGCCACGCCCAGATTGTTGAGCTCAATCTGCGAGTAGTGGAGCACCGCCTTGAGCCGCGGCGAGAAATGCGAGAAGGTGTAGGCGTTGCCGGCAAATGCCTGGATCCAAATCGACGCCGCCAGGCCCAGCCATTTGATCGTCAGCTGCGACGAGGGCCCGGAAGAGATCGACGCCATTCTTGTTGCTCGCTTCTCCGCCGATCGACCAGTAGCATCTGGCAGGGGGATTTCAAGGACACCCACCTGGATGGCACTGGTGGGCGACTCGCGATGATTAGTCTGACACCAAACGAGAATGGAATAGAGGAAAACCCTGCCGCTGTTTGCGGCTCATGTCGTGCGGTCCGATATCCTGGCAGCACACGTGTCCACCTCCCATCAGCCCTAAAACAGAGTTGCCCATAAACCCTAAACCTTAAACAGAACATAAACAGAACTAAAAGATTTAGAGGCAATGGTCGCATGAATCCCAGCAGCATTGTGGCTGTGCTGCCTCCACTGCGAGCCCTTCCTGATGATGGATCGGACTACTTTGCAGCGCTTCTCCGATCAAGCGGCGACTTTCGGGAGGCATCGGGCATCCGGGCCCGGATCTTGGAAAGCGAGCATCGTCAGAATCTCTACCTTGCCAATCTCACGATCCAAGTCTATGGAAAGTTTGGCAGGATTGACGAGGCACGCGCGGTCTTTGATGCCATCAACCGCCCAAACGTTTTCTCGTGGACTATCCTCCTCACGGCATATGCCCAAAGAGGGCATCTGGACGATGCCAAACGGGTTTTTGACAAGATGCCCGAGCGCAACCACGTCGCGTGGAATGGGCTCCTCGCGGCATATTCCCAGCACGGTCGAATCCAAGAAGCAGAGAATCTTTTCCAAAAGATACCCGAGTGGAACCTTGTTACATGGAACGCGATGATAACAGGATATGCCCAGAACGGGCATCTGGAAAAAGCCCAGGAGATATTCCAAAGCATGCCGGAGAGAGACGTAGTTTCCTGGACTGCGATCATCACCGTTTATTCCGACAAAGGCCAAGTTCTCTCAGCGAAAAAACTCTTCGATTCCATGCCTGGCAGGAACATCGCTTCCTGGAATGCGATGATCCAAGTCTACTCCCGCAGCGGGAACCTCCAAGAGGCCAACCAGCTCTTCCACCGAATGCCCGAGCGCGACTTCGTCTCGTGGATCAACATCATCACCGCCAACGTTCACTGCGGGAGCATCGAACAGGCAAAGTCAGTCTTTGACGAGATTCCCGAACAAGAAACTCAATCCTGGAATGCGATGCTTACCGGTTACGCCCAGCACGGGAACTTGGAGGCCGCCAAGAGCATCTTCGACAGCATGAAGCACCGGAACATCGTTTCCTGGAACTCCATGATCCAAGTCCACGTCCAAAAGGCCAACTTAGCCGAGGCAAAGCAGCTCTTTGACAGGATGCCCGAGCGAAACCTCCCGTCCTGGACTGCTCTGATCACTGCCTACGCGCAGGAAGCCGACGTGAGGTCGGCCAAGCAGGTCTTCGACAGCATGCCCGAGCTCGACGTAGTCGCGTGGTCGACGATGATAACTTGCTGCGCACAAGCCCGCCATCTTCGCGATGCCAAAGAAACCTTCGACACTATGCCGGAGAGGAACCTGGTTGCCTGGACCAACATGATAACTGCGTACGCTCAGTCTGGAAAACTGGACGAGGCCCGAGAGATGTTTGAAAGAATGCCGGTACGTGATGGAGTAGCCTGGAACACCATGATCTCTGCTTATGCCAACCACGGTTATCCGGACGAGGCCAAGGTCCTGTTTGATGGAATGCCGCAGCCCGACATGGTGTCCTGGAACGTGATAATGGAGTCTTATGCCCAGAACAACCAGCTCCTCGAAGCAAGGACCACCTTTGAGAAGATGCCCGAGCGGGATATAGTTGCCTGGACTGTGCTTGTGGCCGCGTACGCCCAAGCAGGACATCTGATCAAAGCCAGGAAGATCTTCGACTGCCTCCCGAAACAAAACGTTGTGTCCTGGACAGCCATGATAGCTGCTTATGCCCATTCTGGCCATGGTAAGCTTGCCGTCGAGCTCTTCCAACTGATGGATCTCGACGGACTCAGCCCCGATGAGATCACGGTCACGGGTCTTTTGAGTGCCTGTAGTCACGGTGGCCTCTTCAAGGAAAGCTTGCAGTACTTCGGCTTCATGAACCAGGACTACGGATTAAATCCGTCTGCCGAGCACTACTGCTGCATGATCAACGTTCTCGGCCGTGCTGGGCAGCTGAAGCATGCGCAGGAGCTACTCCAAGGGATGCCATACCTTCCCGATGGCACAACTTTGGGAGCCTTGCTGGGAGTGTGGTCAGCTTACGGTGGTGCGTCTGCCGGATCAAATATAGCCGAGCGCGTCGTTGAGCTGGACCCTGAGAACTCGGCACCATATATCTCTCTGGCTAACATCTTCGCAGCTGAAAGTCGTCGTCGAAGAGCCTCGACTTAAGCGGCATTATTTCCGGACTGTACAAAATGATCCCCGGTACTAACCAAAAGCCTTCGCTGTACACGCGTTCTCATAATTGTTTTTGCTGTCTTGTAAGTAGCCTTCTGCTGCTCGTTTTCTTTGACTGACAAATGCAGCCTGGATTCGGATTTGCGTAGAAGTTTTCTTCCCACTTCGGAGATTCACCGGATTCCCTGTACGATGGAGCACCTATTTTCTTGTGATGCACTCTTCTGATTTCTGCTGCGAAATTGTCCCACGAGAGATTTCCTGTTTCGTAATCATCCACGAGAGTTACTACACTTTGTCTGCAACAAAAACCAACTGTAAGATAATGCATTAGAGAACCAAACAACCAGGACGTACCGGTCCGGACTGATCGTTTTCCTGTGTCCCTCAAACCTCCTGTGCCCCTGAACAGCCTTGGCCATGTTTCCGTCGTATGTATAAACGAAGGTATCGCTCTCCAATGCCATGATATAGTCCAGGCCTGCGATTCTGTTTTGAAAGCCCTTGAACTCCGCCAACTCCTGCTCCGTTGCAAGAGTTGAATGGGTGTAAACGTTTGGATACACGCTTTGGAAAGCTTTCATACTGTTGTTTCCGAAACTTTCGCCTGCCGCAATGTAAATGTTGGTGGATGCCGGATATCCCAAGCCTTTCAGTAGAAGAGCAGCTTCGTGAGGTGTCAGAGGGCAACCTCCTTCCATCCGTTTTTCTTCCGCAGCAATCTCCTTTTCTTTCCAGTGCTTAGTGCTGTAACGCATATCACGTAACACGTTCGCTTCATCGGCTGTTAGCCCGTGCGAACAACCCGTGAATGCCAACATGTCCTTTTCGTATCTACATTCAGGTGAAGCCTCAGAAACTGCAGTTGATAGGTAGGACATATCACATTTTACCTCAAGTGGAGAGCTATATACGGCCCTTTATCTCGCATCCGCTCAACAAGAACTTGTCCCAACCTTTGAATTGGCTTGGCGTACTTCAGAGCTCGATAATTTGCTCGGCAGCGAAGTTGTTGTACACTGTTAGGAATATCATTGTTCGCTAGACGTGAATCCGCATGGGTGAAGTAGACAACCTTGTGCTTCTTGAGCAAGGGAAGAATCTCCTCTTTGTAGTAAGATGCCTGGTAAATCGCACGTCAATACTATCCAAACGAGACAGCGTAGCAAGCTATACCTTCGACCATGATACGGGAGCTTTCTTGACTGGCTCGGCGCTCTCCAAATGGGAAGGAAGAGCTTTCACAATTTGTACATCGTCTTTCAAGGTCTCTATGAAGTGATCGATGTCAAAAATGTCCGCGAATTCACTGCACTATGAAACTGGCATAAGCATTCAACTCCAGATTTAAAAGTACCTTGGATCCTCCCAGAAGGAGCTGTGATCAAGTGTAGGCATGACTAAAGTGGCATTCATGATCCTGGCTACAGCAACCATGTCGCATATCTGAGAACGACATATGCGTATTATTCCAAAATGAATAGAAAAGAAACAGACAATCGCATACCCCGGTTCTCATCTGATTGAGGCCACCATTCGCGTTTACCCGAAGATAACCATTTGTAGCTGCTCCAGCCTCTGCCAGAAAATTCTTAGCATTTCCACAAGAGTGAGAAAACTTACTTCGAGATTTCTTGGATCGTGCTATGCATTGCTCGTACTTTGAGGAGTCTGGATTCGCCCACAAGGAGTTGTAGAGCTGCCATTCATTCTCTCAGATGATCTAGCCTAATGCATGAAAGAATTCACGTTACCTTCCTCTCGACATGAGACACTTTCGTGATTGTGCTTTCGATCATCGCTCGCTGGTAGGACTCGGCTGGCTGAAACAAAGAGAAGAAACAGTGTGATCCTCGTCCTTCAGTCTCGGAGCCCATACCTTCGTTAACAAGAGCTGATCGAAATCTCCCCCCAGCCACTCCACAGACAAAATCTTGGCTAGGGCAAGAACGATCAAGAGCAGGCCGATGAGTCCCAGCAAGGATTTCCTCCACGCTCTGGCGGCCGCGCAGCTGGAATCCTTGGCATCGCTCTGGAAAATGCTCGTGGCCAAAGCGTGGAAGGGATCAACCTGCATCCGCTTGGTGGAGATCGACCGCCGGTAGACGGGCGTCTTGCTCTCGCCGCTCAGCCTGGGGCTGAGAACGATCTCCGCAACATCCCGCGACATCATGCCGCCCGGGAGATGACCTCTGCTCCACTGCGGCGCCATGGATCGGCGATATTACGCCTCCGCTACCGACCGCCGCCGCGCCGAGTCGTCGTCAATGATCCCACGCGCAATGGGGACCAAGAAACTAAGAATCGATGATCGAGCAAGAAGGGAGAAGAAGAGAGCGAAGAGAAAGAGAGAGAGAGAGAGAGAGAGAGTCCTAACACGGCATGTAAGTTATATGAATCTTCTCTTACCTATCACTTTTAACCACGAGTGAATCCGCGCTCGTGAAAAACCCAAAACGCGGTGCTGCCACGTGTCAGAGAATAAACATCTCCCTGCCGCACATTCTGGGGCTGCGTTTATTTGACCAGCGGTTGTGTGTCCAAACCAAGGCAGCGTTGTATTTGACCGTGTCTCTTGCAAACCTTAACTTTAATTCCTTGTGTCTTGATCGATATATGGATACTTGTCCATTGTCTATGGTTGTGGCTGGGTATCGACGACGCCAACTATTGCTCGATTGAGCAACAGTCTACCTAACGACCTTTGTTAACATAACCATGTGCTTACCATCGTACTGAATTAAAGGTACCACCTTTTATTTGTAAACGACGAATTTAAGATATTCTTCGATTTCTAGAGGAATCTTAGCTTTTAGTTCAAGGGTCCATGTCATTGTGGCCAGCACTTTTGCAACAACGACCATAATGGTTTTTCCAAACATTATAAACCCTCTCTTCTTTCTCACACAGCCCATACATTTGTAGCCCCTCTTCCAATGAGATATCTCTCGCTTCTTCCATCGCTTTGCGTCCTCTTCTTTCTGGTTGCCACTGCCAATGGATCCACCACGAAGAAGCAAGGTAAGGTAACCTTCCTCCAGTTCTACATGCACGACATTGTCACGGCCAAGCATCCCACCGCCGTCATGGTGGCCAAGCCCCCTTCCAGGAACGATTCGTTTGGCCTGGTGATGATAATAGACGATCTCATCACGCAAGGACCCTCTTCCAGCTCCAAAGTTTTGGGACGGGGCCAGGGAACTTATATGGTGTGCTCGCTCACCGCCATTAACTTGCTCTTCAGCTTCGCCGCTGTCCTGGACACTCCAGAGTATAAAGGGACCATCAGCTTCCACGGCCTCGACATGCTTGCACTGACCGTGAGAGAGTTCGCTGTGACGGGAGGAACCGGAGATTTTAGATCGGTGCGAGGCTACGCTACCATCGAGACGCAGGCTCTAAAGGGGCTCAACGCAGTGCTCCTGTTCAAAGTTTATCTCACATATTAGCATAGAGAAAAAGAGAGAAGTGTGGACCTTACTATTGTCCGGAGAGCTCGTTTAGCTTCCGGAAGTTTGTGCACACCCGAGCCCATGCTTGACGATGAGAGGCTCGGTGAATCCAAACATTTTTCGCTTCTCATTGTACTCGACGTAGTAGTTCTCTTGCTGGAGCGTTCCTATGACCGCCTGAGCGGCCCCAGTCTTGAGAAAGCCGAAGCACACCACGCCGGTGTTCTTGCCTGTTGGAATCATGTAGTTTCCCGGCGTGATCGTCCACAAGGCGTTCTTTCCAAAGTCCATGACAACGCTGGGGAACGAGCCGAGCTGCGTTGGGCTCATGCGGTAGCAAAGTGACAGCGGCTTGAAAGTCGCCGGTTCCCTCCTGATCTTCTTTCGCGCTGCTTCTCGGACAACTTGCTGCCGGACGAGATCGTATGCTGCATTTGGAAGGCTTGTGAACCGAGCCGTAGTTCCAATCTGGATAAACTCCTGTGCCTTGACGGGCACGGAGCCAAACTGGACTCTTTGCAACCGGAGCAAATACGTTGTCGAGCCGGAACGAGGATTGTTGTTGACGAAAAGCGGAGTCCGGATGAAGGAAACAGGTCGGGACTGTAGAACGTCCGAGTTGTTAAACAGGAAGTAGCTCCGTCTTCCGAACGAAAGCTGGCCTCGACCACCGTCTTGCATTGCTCCCAGGCAATAGGCAAACGTGAGAGGAAGCTTTGCGGCGCTAGTAGCCTGGAAGGGAAAGCTGGACGTACTGGAACCCAGTGCCAAAATGCTGGGTGCGTTCTTCTGGCTTCTGCATGAGATTCGGACAGGAAGCTCCAGGCTTGTAGGAATCGAGCCGCCTGAAAGGCCAGTAAATGAGATGTTGAAGGTTTCGCTGGTCGACGCGCAGTTGGATACAGGAAGCTGAGCACTTGTGTCCAGAGTAAAGTCTCTAGACTGGAACTGGTTGCTCCTGCCAACCTTGAAAGTCAGTGTTGCGACAAAATTACTCCCAGAGGAGTGAAGTGAAGCGGATGGATAAATGCTCGACCGCTGAGCATAGCTCAAAACGCTATTCACAACGACGACCAGGACCTGCACGAGAAAGGTTGCCATCGCCGCAAGTGAAAATGGCTGCTTGAAAATTCTCACCCTTTGGTTCATATATAAAGCCTTGAGTGTCATGTCCGAGAGGCATCATATGATCCACTAGAAAAAGCGACCAGAGTAATAAGTTGCCGCAGAAGTGATAGAAGCACGGGGAAAAAGCAGAAAATGGAGATGAGGGGCATTGATCCCCTTACCTATCGCATGCGAAGTGATCGCTCTACCAACTGAGCTACATCCCCAGTTCGAATATTCACAGTATAAGCCGCATCACCTGGGAGGCAAACTAGTCATCTGCACAGAGAGAACACGCCATTCAATTAGTCAGGGGCAAAAGACTTAGATCGAGAAGCTTCCACCAGTTGAAACGAATTATCTCCTCGTCATCATCACCGTCATCTGATTACAGGACAAATAAGCTAGAAAGTCAAAACATACAGTTCCACTTACAGTTTCTGTAGACAGCCATGAGATCTTGCTCGTTTACTTGCCAAAACTCATTTCCATCGATTTCTATGCCGTAGCTCGTCACCAGAAACGGCATAGCAATGGCAGGAGACACAGGACACTTCGCTATACGGATACACCGACGACCTGCAAATGGTTGAAAAACAAATTAAGAAAGCAACAGAAATCTCACCTTCACGAACTTCTAGAACAAGTCTGATATTAACAGCATGCGCCCAAGCTGTACCCAGAGCGACCCAAAGCTCTGACTCACCATCACCATATCCTACAACAATACATCGTAAACACACAATAGTTAGGAGATAGAATCCACACCTTCGTATGTGCCCGAGGCCCTCACGTGATTTGTCACGACGACTGGAAGTCTACATGATTCGGCGAGGTACCTGGAAATATGCACGATCTATCAGTTTGATTTTACTTGAGACTTACTTTAACAACGATGCTTGCTTTCCAAGCAACTCCTGCCTTTCGAAAATCTCGTCCTCCTTGTCTCTGCAAGGGGTGCCTCAGGTCATATGCTCATTTCAAGGTGAAGCCTACCCTTCTAGTAAAGTTGCAATGCTATCGATCACCAAGAGCTTGACATTACCTTCAGGTATTATAGATTGCAGTTTCTGTAGGCTGAAAGCTCGAGAAGACGCATGTTAAAGAAAATAGATATCCGTCTTGATGGTACCTTGCACCTTTCTACGAGCTCCGGAGCAGAAGTAGGCGTCAATATCATCATGCGCTGCGCAATCTACGTTGAAAAAAGACAATGAGTCATTTGAGCGATTAGAAAATGAAAGCTTACTTCTCGGACACTGGCCTCGTTACAGAAAATCCCGGGATATTTGTGGGAGCCTATTTGCATCACCCTTCACACGCATCGAGCACTTCAACCTACATACATTGTATAATTTCCTTCAGATTACCTTGTGGTGGAAAACTTTCGCTCAGTATCAATGTAAACAACACTGCCCCCAAGGCCACCAAAGCTCGTCGGAATGACCGTCTGGATCGATAGAGTGAGACAGAGCTGGCAAAGAAAAAAAAAATGGAAAGAAACGAACCATTGTCATTCCAGGAAAAACAATTTATAAAGGACCTGTGTCTTTCCAATGCCTGGGGGTCCAACAAGCTCAGTGATAACACCGGATGGAATCCCACCACACAGGGCGTCGTCGAGGAGCTTCAAAGTAGTCGAGAGGTGACCCATAGCAACCTCGTTCTTAGATCGCATTTGCACGATAGAGAGCACCTAACGGCGAAAGAAAAACAAATCAAACAAGGCGAGAAAAAAAAAGTCGAAGAAGCGCAATCACACCGTCTTGAATGGCGGACAAACGCTCTTGTTGATGCGCGCGAGCGCGGCCTCGAAAGAATCCATCGGCATGTCGAGGAGTTCCATGAGCTCCATTTCTGTCAATCCCAGCGCATCCTGCCCACAATGCAGGCGATCTTCGGCCCAAGAACGCTCGCAATCAGGATATTACCTTGGCATTGTGGATCTTGCGAGCTGCGAAGAGACGAACCACGGCCTCGTCGAGCCCCATCCTGGCGATCGACCTGTTCGCCATCGCCCAAACCCTAAACCTGTGCCTCAAAGATTTTGAACATATTCAGGTATATTCTAAAACGTATATTCTAGAATACTGTCAAAACTCCTAAACCCTAAGCCTTAAAGGAACTCATTATCTCTTTATTTAATTACTTTTATTATATTATTTCAATGTGTCTACGTATGGTATATTATGTATGCTGGTATCAAGGCAGCCACTACAGATCAGGCTTTAAGATTGGATTCCATGCTTTGCGTGAAAGACTTTCGGTCATTAAACTTAAGATTGTGATGGGATTTAGAGGTGGAGGCCAAGGGAGCAGGAATCGAGTTTGCTAACCTTGAGGAAGAGTTCGTGCTTGAGCACCATGTTTGCTCCACCGGCGTACGCAAGAACCTGGGTGGCAACCTGGCGACCCTTTGAGAAGTACAAGTCCCCAGTTCCCCCAAAAACTGGGAGATCATTGGCAATCAGCGAGAAATCGAACAGACCATCCGCGGAAACGTAAGAACCATTGTAAAACGGTGTGGAGAAGACAACCGCGCTGTTGTAAGTGACCAAGCTCCCAGCCACCGGCACGAAGAACGTCCCTTTGACCCTCCCAATCTCTTGGGACTCGTAAGATGGAGTGAGAGTGAGGCGATTGTTAAACACAGCTCCATATCCGGCGGTAAAGTTGGGATTCAAGCTTGTGCTTCCCAGGATCGCCCGCTCGCTCTGGATCTGGCTCGAGTTGGCTGGGCTCCTGATAATGTGGCTGTAGAACACAAAGTTCTTTGGAAGCCCGCAGCAGCAGTCGAGAAGCTTGAAAGTTTTGGTTGTTAAAAATCATATGAGTAAGTGATATAGAAAACTTACTGATATGGGAGGAAGATCAAGCGATGAGATTGCGAGTACCAAAGTCATGATCAGCAAACTTGTGAAATGTGCAACATGCTTGTCAGCCATCTCTGGACGACGCACAGATTAACGAGTGATTTGGGGGCGAAGTTATGCGACTAATTGGAGCGGGGGTCCGCAAAGTCAACGAGATGGATCGTGATTTTCGCTGCCGAGTTGCCAAAGTCAAAGATACCCGCGGGCTGGTGGAACGAACATAAGGATGGTAAGGGTTCTTGGGGTTGGTTTCTAGCGTATAATGTAATTCATGATAAGATTTTATCTCGATTGAATGTATGGCTTTCGACGTCTGTCAATGTTGAGGCTGATGGGCAGAAAAATATAAGTCTTTTGGCTCTTTTGAGACAAGCACGGGCGTGTCGCCTTGATTAAATCCAAGCACACGTAGATTTTTGCGATTGGCAGCGAGCGTGTCAAGCATCTCTTTGAGACTTTGACATATTTGTTCGTTTCACGGCTCTCTCCCAAATTCCGGAAGAGCGGGAAGAACAATCGAGACAATGCGCGAGGAAAATCTCAGAAAACCGCCACGAAGCAGTTTCCAGATTATAACTTGTCACCAAGCGCGGTGGAATATCCCGCCACGTTGCGGGGGAATAGGCCTGGCTATGGCGAGCTATGCCCCTGTTCATCATGACTGGAGTAAAACCACGTCCGGCGATCATACCAAAGAAAAACGAGCATCTTTTAAATCAATGTGATGGATTCGAAGCAGAGGAGAGGGAATTAGGGCTCCATTTTTTTGCCGACGCTTCTTCTTCGCCTTCCTCCTCTTTCGCCTCTCGCGATCGCCATGCGCAGCTCGCCGATCGCTCAATCGATCCAAGAAATCCGGTTTCTTGGCCGCCTCGCCGCGAGGTAGCACCAGATTATGGATTTTTGGGACAAGCAGCGGCAAAAGATCCAGCTCCGGAGGGCATCGCTGGCGGCGATCGCGCTCCTCGCCTGCATTGTCTTCGTCTACCAGAGCTTCCAGGAGCCAAGCGATTCCTCCTCCTCTTCTTCTTGGTTTTCTTTTCACAGCCCCGGAAGAACGAGGCACGAGGCCGCGTCGGCCATTTCCGGCAACGATTCCACGCGATCCAAGCCCGCCATCGAGCTCGTGTCCCAGGCCACTTCCAGCTCGATTCCACCGCCACAATTACTTCCTGGCAGCCCACCGCCGGTTCCTTCGCAAGAACTAGGACAAGGAGGCGGCGACGAGCTTCCTCTTCTTCCTCCATCGATTGCTCCCTCGCCGACGCAAGAAATTTCTCTTCCGAAGAAGAATTTGACACAGGAAAGATCGGATTTCAATGCTTCTGCTCTTGCCAATTTGGATCGCAAAGTCGTCAGGAAACGCGAGGTCGGTGGATTTCCTCTTTTTTTTTTCCTTCCTTCGTGTGCGTTCTTCCGCTGCATGGATTCATGCTCCAAACTCGTTGGATTTTTTTCTTTCGAAGTTTTCGATTTTGTCGAGGTTCGAGTAATTACTAATCTCTGGCTGGATCTCGAATTGGATCTCTTGGGGTCGAATCGCATTGCGTCTCGTGGTTCGCTTCTCACTCCCGAATTTAACTCTTTGGTTTCTGTCATGTAGATACCGCAATGGCGTGTGATTCTGGAACAGGATCTTCGTCGTGCGAAGCAAGAGATCAAGGTCGCAGGGCCACGGAACACGCAGCTGGATCCACAAGCCACCCGATCCATCTACCTCAATGCCTACAAGTTCCACAAGTACGTTCATTCTTTCTTGGTCTTCGTGCAAATTTTTTCGTGCCTGTTTTCGAGAGTGACACTGTGACAGTCACTGGAAGAACCAGAGTTTGAGTTAGTGTGTAAGTTGGCCAGTTCGTTCCACCACAGTTTGCATGGATGATACATTGTCTCCGCAAGTTGCCTGGAATGCTTTCTTTGTGGTTTTTGGTTTTCCTGGAGTTTTTTTCTCTTCCAGTACGTAGAGTTTGTTGAGCTGTTATGCTTGCCCTGTCCCGTTCGCTCGCTCGTGCCATTGTTTTATTCTCTTAATTCTCGTACGAGTTTCCAGTGTAACTTCTTCGTTGTTTAAGCTCTTGCTTAATGAGTTTTCCTTACTTCTTTGCGAATTCGTGGCAGCGACTGACTTGGTTCGTCTGTTTCAATCGCAGGAGCTACGAACTCATGGAGAGATTGTTCAAAGTGTACGTATACAAGGAAGGGGAGCCTCGGCTCGTCCACAAGGGACCTTTGACGGGGATTTACTCCTCCGAGGGGCGATTCATTCACGAGATGAACCAAAACAGCCGCTTTGTCACGCACGATCCGCAAGAGGCCCACATGTTTTTTCTTCCGTATAGCGTTGCTCACATGGTTCTCGACCTCTACGTTCCAGGCTCGCACACCATGCTGCCGCTCGCCACTTTCATCAAGGACTACGTCAATCTCATCGCCAGCAAGCACCCGTTTTGGAACCTGACCCGTGGCTCCGATCACTTCTTCACCTCCTGCCATGACTGGGTACGCAGTTTTCTATTTCTTAGGAAAAAAACTGAGATGGTGCATCTTTGGTGGGGCTTGCAGTCTTATCGTCTAGCTAGCACTTAATGAGAATGGTTCGTTTTTGCATTTAGTGGTCTGTCTGTCTTTCATTTGTTTAAGCATAAAGTCTCTCCTCCATGATTTTTTTTATTCCTGTTCATGTGGAGAATATCATGCTAGCACTTCTTTGGGTATGATTGTCGGATTAAACTACTTGCATTCTCTTTTTTGTTCTTGGGCTAAAGTTTGTACCCAACACGGTTTGTTCTCCTTTCCACGGGAACTTTCCTGTGCTACATGAAAATCTCATGCTTTGTACCCGCGGAAAGTGTGGTGGAATTCCAGCTTACCCGAATGAGTGGAAGTGTCACATAATTTCTGTGCTTTTTGATTGTGCCGAACACTTGTCTGATTGAAGTCTTAGTACTATTTCTGACCTGTGCTCCTTTCAGGGCCCCGCAACAGCCCGAGACCACCCGGAGCTCCGCAAAAACTCCGTCAAAGTGGTGTGCAACTCGGACCTCACGGAGGAGTTCGTGCCGGACAAGGACGCGTCGCTGCCCGAGACGTATCTCCATGCGGTAAAGCTTCCGACCAAGCTCGGCGGCCCGGGGCCGAGCAAACGGCCCATCCTGGCCTTCTTCGCGGGTCAGATGCACGGGAGAGTCCGGCCGGCACTGATCAAGCACTGGAAGGACCGAGGAGACCCCGACATGAGAATCTACGAGGTGCTCCCACCCGAGGTGGCGCGGCGGACGAGCTACGTCCAGCACATGAAGAGCAGCAAGTTTTGCATCTGCGCCATGGGATTCGAGGTGAACAGCCCCAGGATCGTGGAGTCGATATACTACGACTGCGTGCCGGTGCTGATCGCCGACAACTTCGTGCTGCCATTCAGCGACGTTCTCAACTGGGGATCCTTCTCGCTCACGGTGAGCGAGAAGGACGTTCCCCGGCTCAAGGAACTGCTGCTGGCGGTGTCCGAGGATCGGTACCGAAAGATGCAGAGCCGGCTCAAGAAGGTGAGGAAGCATTTCTTGTGGCACGACAGCGCGGAGAGGTTTGATATGTTTCATATGATCTTGCACTCGGTTTGGACGAGGAGGCTGCAGCAGATGGATGCGATTATCGGTCATGAGACGTCCATGGTTTGAGATGTGATAGAACAATGGTTTTGGAAGAGAATCTACCTTGTGTGAATACTTCTTTCACGAATAAAATTCATTTCATGGTATATACCTACCATGAGCAAGTTAAGATATAATCTAACACATATAATCTATATTTGTAAACTTAGGGTTTGGCAAGATGCGTGGTGAGCAAGTCTTGTGGGTGGTGGTCGAAAACGTGGAGTTGGATCATCTCTGCGTTGGGCTTGGCCACCTTCACCAGGAATGTCCAGAACTCTTTGCAGATGAGCTGATTGATTTGATTATTGACAAAGCACCACTGTTAAAGGTATCAGTTTTCCACATGCTCATTGGGAAAAGGCGCAGTAACACTGTGGTCCGAAGGTTTCTTGATGCCGAGTTTGCAAACGATGCTCTGAACTCACTTGACCAGGCGTGTGATCAGGAGACTTTCACAAGAGTACTTGCATATCCTTTTGAGAGGAGGCCCCCTCTCAACGGCAAGCTTTTGGATGCCATCGACACAATGAAGGGTTTGGGCTACAAACGCGAGATTTGTGTGTTTGAAAATGCTATTCTTTTCTCACCTAACGAGAGGCTCTTTTGTGAAATGGTTAAGGAACATCCAAATGAGGCTGCAGAACCAGATGTGTACCAAAAAACGTTTGACAAGGGGAATATGGAGCTTAAACATTTTGTTGGTTTAGAGGCAAAAGCCAAGGGTGTCAAGCTGAGTATTGAATCGTTCTTCAAAGGAATACCTGAAAGTGATGTGAACAGGGGTCTCGCTTTACTGCTTGAGATTTCTGCCTCTCCAGCACAAGCTTATCAGATTGGGCTGAATAGTATAAGCTCGCCCCATATCTTTGTATCTATTTTGAAAAAGGCTGTAGAGGCAAAAGTGACGGTGAATCCAACTTCAAAGCTTATTCACATGCTTGGACAGGTGAAAAATGACCTGGGAGATACGTTTGTAGCAGATGCCATAAAGAGAGACCTTCTCAAATTGGATGATAAAGAACTAGCAGGCTGTTTTCGAACACCTTCATACTCTTCTGCTAACTGGGCGATTAACCAGGAGAATGCTAGACTACTTTTTAAGTTGGCAACCACAAACAGTTGCCAGCCATTCCCTCTACTCCTGAAGGAGATGCTACGAACAAGCTTTCACGCAGATTCGGTGTGGCTCTGCTATGTGGCATTTCGCAACTTGATGAATCCTGATGCAGATACATGTCGCGAAATGGCTGGAAAACTCGATGAATATGGTATGACTACCGAAGCTAGTTATTTGCTGGACTATTATTTCCCGTAAATTCGTTCAATAATGTTAATATATTTTTTAAGATGTTTATTTTCTAGTTGATCCTGGGGTTTATGAATGTTGGTTGGGCTTCCTAGGAAATGGTGGAAATATGGTGGGCTGTCCACCAGCATCGCGCTGCTTGCGCCCATCCATCGGCAAGGCTAGAGAATTTAGACTCCGATTTCGGCCGGGGGCTTCGATATACGGTGGAGGATGGATTCGATTGATCGACCTCGCATTCCAGAAGTATGTTCATTCTTTCTTCTTTTCGTGCCTATTTTTCGTGCCTGTACGTAGAGTTTGTTCAGCTGTTCTGTCCCGTTCGCTCTCGCCCGTGCCATTGTTTTATTCTCTAATGGTCCTACGAGTTTCCTTGTAACAAAGTGTACGTATACGAGGAAGGGGATCCTCGGCTCGTCCACAAGGGACCTTTGACGGGGATTTACTCCTCCGAGGGGCGGTTCATTCACGAGATGAACCAAAACGGCACGATCCGAAGAGGCCCACATTCCATATAGCGTTGCTCCAGGCTCGCACAGCATGCTTCCACTCATCACTTTCATCAAGGACTACGTCAATCTCATCGCCAGCAAGAACCCGCTTTGGAACCTGACCCGTGGCTCCGATCACTTCTTCGTCTCCTGCGATGACTGGGTAACGCAGTTTTCTATTTCTTAGAAAAAAAAAACTGAGCTGGTGCGTGCATTTTTGGTGGGGCTTGCAATCTTATTGTCTAGCTAGTACTTGATTTACATTACATTGCAGGCTGTTTATAAAGGACACGTAGGGCATCCGAACTGGTTATTTAGAAGCAGTATTTGTGTAGATTCATGTCCGGCAGATGAAACTGGAAACATATCTGGCATATGTGTAAGTGAATTGAGCAGCGTAGTCTTGACCATTGCTGCTTTTATGGCCAGGATTCAGTGTTTCTTGGGCCCAGTTGATATCTTGTATCCGAGACTCTGTGTAGGCAAAGGAAGCCTCAAGTGCACTGTGTAGTGTTGAGTATGGTGGTTAAGTGCAATGGGTTCACTTCTTGGCAGTAGAGAGAGGTAGTACTTCGTCAAGAATGGTTCGTTTGAGCATTTAGTGGTCTGTCTCATTTGTTTGAGCATTTAGTGTCTCTATAATTTTGACCTTCCTGTTCATTTGGAGAGAATATCATGCTAGCACTTCTTTGGGTATGACTGTTGGACTAAACTACTTGCATTCTCTTCGACACTTCCACTCATTCGGATAAGCTGGAATTCCACCCCTTTCCGCAGGTGCAAAGCATGAGGTCCCATAATTTTGATTGTGCGTTGGTCCCCGAGCAACAAAGTCTTCGTCTACTATTTTGTTTTCGATATTCTCAGTTTTTGATTTGAGTTTCTTGTTCATGAACTAGAACAGTGTAAGGAGATAGTCTTGATGTTGCGGAAAGCACTCCTTGCAAAGTGCATGTGTCCATGGGAGCATATGCCAAAGGTTTATCAATGGATGGGGCTTCCGGGCATTTAGCAGGGGTAGGGGACAGCGACAGCAGAGAAGAGGAAGGCGGACGAGCTGGAGCTTCTGGAAGCTGTAAGAGTGGTGCCTGAGATTGCGTACGCTGGATCTGTGCTTTGGATTGGCTTGAGTGCTCAAAAGCTGCCCAAATTGGAGTACTAATAATAACTTCGGGTTTTAGTGTTAGAACTGAGGGAATATTCCATTTGCCGCCACGTCAGTATTAGGGTCCCATTCCAAGTGCTTGAAAAACAGTCGATCATCGTCTGTAAGGAAGTGAAGAAGAAGAATAAAGGATGCCTCGACTAAAAGTTCCTTGGTGAAGCAGTGCTCTAGATCGTGTGAACGAGCGGCTTTGAATACAGAGGGAAGCAAGAGAGTGTCATCAAGCCACCATGAGCATTCTGTGTCCTCACTGTGGGTAACGGGTTTACCTTAGAGCAAACACCTGGGGTGTTTTTACTGGTGCATTGCCAGGAAGACATTGCTGCCAAGGTTGCGACTTTCCTTTAGAAGAACATCATCACGAGATTTGGCTGCCCTTTGGAGCTGGTAAGCTATAGAGGTACTCACTTTATCAATCAAGTGATTGCGACCTTGGTGGAGAAGTATGGCAGCGCTCATTGTAAGTCCACTCCCTATCACCCTCGTGCTAATGGACAGCGCACAAATAAGATACTGTGCGACATTATCACAAAGCTTGCCAGTGCTTCTCGCACTGATTGGGATCAACGCTTGTTGGATGCTCTCTACCGCGTTGCTTACAAGGTCACCACCAAAGCTTCACTGTTCCAGCTTGTTTATGGACAAGAAGGCATCCTACCACTCGAGCTTGAGATTCCATCTCTCCGTATGGCTGTCAAGCACAACTTGGACTGGGACAACACTCTTCAAGCTCGACTGGACACTTCTCCAACTCGACGAGTGTCAACTTCTCGCCTTCCAAGCTCGCGAAGCACTTCAGAAGTGCCACAAAGTCTGGTACGATCGTCATTTGCGTGCTAAGAATTTTTCTGCTGGTGATCAGGTTCTACTATATGATAGCAAGCACTGGAAAAAGCCTGGGAAACTCCGTATTCGCTGACTTGGCCACATCGTTGAAGTTTTTACCAATGGCTCGGTCCAGCTTGAAGATCTTAGCAGGAACTTGTTACCAACTCGTGTTAATGGGGCTCGCCTGTGCAAGTCCCATGAGCGAGATGAAGCTGCTGTGGAGCTGTGTGCTCCAGGACGGAGCTCAATAAGAACTGAGGGAATATTCCATTTGCCACCACATCAATATTAAGGTCACGACCATTGGGGAGGGGAAGTCCACAAGGGAAAAAACAGTCGATCATCGTATGTAAGGAAGTGAAAAAGAAGAATAAAGGATGCTTCGATGAAGAATTCCTTGGCGAAGCAGTGCTCTAGATCGTGTGAACGAGCGGCTTCGAGTACGGAGGGAAGCAAGAGAGCGTCATAAGCATTCCGTGTCCTCACTATGGGCAATGGGTTTACCTTAGAACAAACACCTAGACATGTTTTCCACAAGCTTATTGGGAAAAGGAGCAATAACAGCATGGTTCGAAGGTTTATTGATGCTGGCTTTGCGCTCTAGACTTGCTATGATCAAGAGACTTTCACCAGAGTACTTGCTCATCCGTTTGAGAGGGCACTGATTCAAGCTTTTGGAAGCCATGGACACAAGGGCTACAAATGTGAGATTTGTGTGTTTCAGAATGTTCTTTGTCTGTCACCCAACGAGAGGCATTTTCGTGAAATGGTTAAGGTAAACTTATCGTGGGGTTTAGGGTTTATCCATTACGATGGGGAATGGCGTCTTGCTGTGACTCCATTGCTTTCCTTGGGCTTCCTAGGTCTCGTGGAAATCGCGGCGGCGAGCGGCGCTGGAAATGTGATCGGCTGTCCACCAGCATCGCGCTGCTTGCGCCTCCGGTGCTCTGCCCTTGCTCATCCGCGCCAATCGGCGGAGGTAAGCTAGAGAACGTAGACTCCGATTTCGATGCCGAGGGCTTCGATAGGGTGGATGATGGATTTGATTTAAGGCACAGTGGCGGCGGTGGGAGAGAAGATAGTTTTCTGCTGTCGAGCTCAGAGCTTGAGGAACTTAAGAGGCTGGAGGAAAGCACTAGAGAAGTTAGTGGCGATTCTTTTCGAGCTATTCTTTCTTCGAGGCTAGAAAAGGCGCAAGGAACGAATTCTTCTTTGTCAATCCATGCTCCGTCGGGTGCTCCTTCTAGTCGATGGTCTGGCAGAGGCAATCGCTCAAGTTCTCCGAGTGATAAATGGAACCAAGCACAGTCCATCATATGGAAGTGGTCGAAATCTTCGCAGAGCTCCAGTTCTTCCCAGTTGCCTCAAGGAGATCGTCTCATCAACATTGACGATGTGATGAAAGCTCTTCGAGGCACGGCTACTATAGAGGAGCTTGAAGCCGCGATGCTGCCATGGAAAGGAAAGATCTCTCCGAAGCTCATGGTGACGATTCTAAACATGCAAGACGACTGGCAGCGATCACTGGCTCTACACGACTGGATGATCGAGAAAGGTGGCTACGCTCCATCCATCTTTGCTTACAACGTTGTTCTCAAGAACGTTCTTCGAGCGAGACAGTGGGAGCTCGCCGAGGGCCTTGTGCTTGAGATGGTCGAGAAAGACTTGGTGCCGGATAAGTTCACTTTCTCGACGCTTATCAGCGGGTATGGACGAGCGAACCGGCTGGAAGATGCAATGGGATGGCTGCAAGAGATGGAAGCAGGAGGAATCAAGCCGGACCTTGTTATCTTCAGCACACTGATCGAGCTCGCTGGTAAAGTCAAGGACTACTCCAAAGCAACATCACTCTTCTCGAAACTCAAGGCTTCCGGGATCGCTCCTGACAAGGTGATCTACAACTCCATGATAAATCTCTACGGGAAGGCAAAATTCTACAAGGAAGCGCAGGGTCTTCTAGCGGAGATGAAGGAGGCGGGGCTTATGCCGGATACTGTGAGCTACACTATTCTCATCAACGCTTACGCGGAGTCCCAGAAATATCTGGAAGCCAAACAAGTTTTTCTCGAGATGAAGACGAAGGGGATTCAACTTGATGTCACGACTTGCAACATGATGATCGATGTGTACGGGAAGCTGGAGATGGTCAGAGACGCGGAAGAGCTTTTCTGGAGCATGAGCAAGACACTGGGGATTCAACAAAACGTCGTCACGTACAACACCATGATCAAAGTTTACAAAGAGGCCGAGTTGCTGTCGGAGGCTTTCAACGTTTTCTATTACATGCAAAACAAGGGAGGTGTGGAGCCGAATGTCATCACCTACAACACGATACTCTTCCTGCATGGACTGACGCTTCAGCACGAGAAAGCCATGAGGCTCGTCCGGAAGATGCAGCAGCGAGGGATAGAGCCAAATGCGGTGACTTACTCGACTTTGATATCCATATACGGGAAGACTGGAAAATACGATAGAGCAGCATTCCTCTTCAAGACGCTGAGGGAGAAGGGATTCGAGATGGACGAGATTTTATACCAGTCAATGATCGTGGTGTACGAGAGGGCCGGCTTGGTGGCTCATGCGAAGCGTTTGCTCGAAGAACTTAAGCAACCGGACATCGTTCCAAGGGATACAGCAATCAGCATCCTAGCCAAGGCAGAAAAACTGGAGGAGGCAGCGAAGCTTTACTGGCGATCACACGAGGCTGGAGAGATCAAAGAGTCGGTTACATACAAGTCCATGATTCAGCTCTTCGTGAGGAACAAGAGGAGCAAGAACGCAATCGACGTTTTCGAAAACATGCGAGAGAGCGGTTTCTTGCCCGACTCGGAGACGACTGTGGTGCTGCTAGCAGCTTATGGCCAGCTCCGTCAACTGGAGGACGCTGAGAAGCTCTACCTGGACATGCGCGAGCGGGGGTGCACGCTGGAAAAGGAAGTCCACTTCCAGATGCTCAAACTGTACGGTGACGCTCGGAAGATTCGGGAGGCCGAGGACATGTTTGCGGCGTTAAAACTCGAAGGCCTTGACGGGGACGAGCTCTACCTTACAATGATCCGGATTTACGAGCGAGCAAGCAAGCTCAACGAAGCATCGAGGCTCTTCTCCGAGATGAAGTCACGCCAGCAAGTGGGAGGATGAAAATCTGGCACAGTACATACATATGGAGCACGGAGATCTGGACCAAGTTTCCAGCAGCAGACCGGGAACAGGAATCGACGAAACACGGAGGAAAAGGTGGTGTTGATTTTGCTGGATCCTATGTCAGCCACTACAAGTGAGTGCGTTTGGTATCACTGCTTGTGGATTTTCTTTCTTTGGCGTTTCTTTTTTTTTTTTCTCGCGTCCTGACGACGAAGCTTTTGTTGCTACAGGGTTGATTTCCGCAGCTTCTTCTTCTAGAGTTGATTGAACGGGTCATCCACAGGACGTGTTCGTGTTTTGTGGATCCAAAGCACACTAGCAGTTCGTGCAAAGGAAGACTTTCACATGTGTTGCCAGCCGGAAGAGTGTCACGACGTTTGACTTGCACTAAACAACGCTCTTAAGGTACTCGTTCATCCCAGCTTTTCCAAATGCCACTGCAAAACAGGATGTCAACAGCGAATAATTGGCAGCGGCCCACGACAGAGAGTTGCGTGATTATCTTTAAACTTCCAGCGTATCTCTCTTAGGCTCGGCCATTTAACAAGTCGGTCGTGGACAGGAAAAGCTCCAGATCAATCAAACACGATGCCGCTCGAGAGAAAAGATTATCCTTGAAAACACTCTAAGCAGCAACAGTGATCAAGTGTAAGTGGACCCAGCCCAGCTGCTTCCATACAAAGACACGAATCTAACAACTTTACAGGAGATTTCGTAGCTTCCAAGTGGAACCAACGAAAGAACGAATCGGTTGGATGTGTAAGAGGGCGATTTTATGAGACGTGTGGTGAGACGTTCAATCGGCCACCAAACGATATATATCACAGCACCGGAATGAAGAGCCTTGCTCGTCTCGCAACATAAAAAAAAAGCAAAGCTTCCTGAGTAATAAACTTTGATCGATTTATATGACCAACCATATCGTTGTATATTGTCTCGCAATAGACTATAGACTATATGGTACATGGTTTTGGTCTTTAATGAGATATCTGCCTCGCATTTAAAGTTTTCACCATGGCAGTGTCGGAGCCCGTGCTCGGGCCCGTCGGATGGACCATCCGACGGTAAATAACGGCGGTTAAAAGGGACAAAAAGCGCACGATTTAGTCACGAACCATGCGGCTTTAACACCTCTGGCGTGGGCCCGCCTTGCCGACGCGGTTGATAGCACGTAGACGTCGACGCGCAGAGAAAACCCCGCGACGCGCGGTTCTCATCACCGTGTCTAGGCGAGAATATCCCCGGCTTTGAGAGTTTTCCCAGGGGTAGGACTTCCATTTGAGTGAATGCGAGGGTGAGGAGCCGGAGGAGGAGGGAATGCGGCAAGGGTTTGTTCTTCCCTGGCGCCCGAGCTCCCGCCCAGCGGCGTCATCGATCTAACAATCTTTTCGGCGAATTCCGGCGATTGCTCGAGGATCGGCAGGTCAGCCATGGCGGATCTTTGATTATCGGGCGAAATTCTCATTCCAGTGCCCCGCGGCGTCTTCTTTCTTTCTCGCAGAAGCGGCGCGGCAATGGATTTCCCCCTCGCGGTCTAGGCGGCGGTCCAAGAAGCGATGGAGGCCAACGCTGGGCTAGTCGCGGGATCTCACAAGCGCAACGAGCTCGTTGTCATTCGCGGAGACGGAGTAATGATCTTTCTCTCTTTCCGAAATGCTTACGCTATCTCCGATTTGGGTGGATCTTTGATGGACTCGCATTGTTTCTTCGTTCCCAGGTGAAGCCCCTGAGCCATTGCAAGAGCGAAACCTGCCAAATCTGTGGCGACGATGTGGGATTGACGGTCGATGGCGAGACATTCGTCGCATGCAACGAATGTGGATTCCCTGTCTGCCGCCCCTGCTACGAATACGAGCGCAAGGATGGAAACAAGTCTTGCCCGCAGTGCAAGACGAGATATAAGCGACTCAAAGGTGTGTAAAGCTCTCCTTGTCTCTCTGCGTCTTTCCTTTCCTTGACCATTTGCTCTCCAGGAAGCGCTCGGGTCGAGGGCGATGATGAGGAGGAGGACGTAGATGATCTTGACAATGAATTCAGCGTTCACGAGTCGGATGATAAGATGGACCAGCAGCATCTTGCCGAGGCTATGCTCCACGCGCATATGACGTATGGGAGAGGAGATGGTGAAGAAGCGGACATGCCAATTCAGCCTGGAATCCCTCTCCTTACAAATGGACAAGTGGTAAAAGTGTTTGATACTGTCGATTTCTTTTTACTTAAATCACTCGTGTAGGGCGTCGATCCAACCGAAATTCCTCCGGATCACCATGCATTGGTCGTTCCTAGCGTTGGGCCCGGGGGCAAACGAATTCATCCGGTCTCAGATCTCGATGGTATGGATATATGTTTGTGTTTTACGTGATTGGTCTGAAGTCATGGCTTTTTAGTTCAAGTAAGATCCATGGACCCTACGAAGGACCCTTCAGCTTACGGTTATGGAAGTGTGGCCTGGAAAGAGAGGCTAGAAGGCTGGAAGTTGAAGCAAGATAGGATGTCCATAACAACAACGGATGGAAACCATCATTACAATGATGGCAAAGGAGGAGATGAAGGAGAGCTGCCAATGTAAGAGCTTCTTTCCTAGATGCGTTTCTTTGACGTGCTCGTGTACTTACATGCAGAATGGACGAGTCCAGGCAGCCTCTCTCGAGAAAAATTCCGATTGCTTCCAGTAAGATCAATCCTTACCGGATGATTATTGTTGTCCGTCTTGTGGTTCTGGCATTTTTTCTACGTTATCGAATCTTGAACCCCGTAAAGAATGCGTATGGCCTATGGCTTACCTCCATTATTTGCGAGGTCTGGTTTGCCATCTCATGGATTCTCGACCAGTTTCCCAAGTGGTTGCCTATCAATCGAGAGACATACCTTGATAGGCTTGCGCTGCGGTAAGACTATGTACCAGACTGTGGTACTGTTTTTTTATGCTTGTGATGTCATCTTTCTTTTCTTACAGATATGATAGAGAAGGCGAGGTGTCTCAACTTTGTGCCGTGGACATTTTTGTCAGTACAGTGGATCCAATGAAAGAACCACCAATTGTTACAGCGAACACTGTTTTGTCCATACTCGCCGTTGACTATCCCGTGGACAAAGTCTCCTGCTTCGTCTCTGACGATGGTGCTGCCATGCTCACCTTCGAAGCATTATCTGAAACTTCGGAATTTGCACGAAAGTGGGTACCGTTTTGCAAGAAATTCAGTATCGAGCCTCGTGCACCAGAGATGTACTTTGCTCAAAAAATTGACTACCTCAAGGACAAAGTTCAGCCTTCGTTCGTGAAAGAGCGGAGAGCTATGAAGGTAATCTACCAGCGTATATTTTTTTGGAATAACTCACGATATGGTCTACCAGAGAGAATACGAAGAATTCAAGGTGCGGATGAATGCCTTGGTGGCCAAAGCACAGAAGATACCAGAAGAGGGGTGGACAATGCAAGACGGAACGCCTTGGCCAGGAAATAATGTTCGTGATCACCCTGGAATGATACAGGTATCGCTTGTGAATTAAAGGATTAAAACTGATATCGAAATGGCAGGTTTTCTTGGGGCATAGTGGAGGCCACGACACAGAAGGCAATGAATTGCCTCGTCTCGTCTATGTTTCTCGTGAAAAGAGACCCGGGTTTCAGCATCACAAAAAAGCGGGTGCTATGAACTCTTTGGTATGTCTGTCCGTTGTGTTTATTTTTAATTTTGACCCGGCTTGGTGTAGGTTCGTGTATCCGCTGTCCTCACAAACGCTCCCTACCTTCTGAACCTTGACTGTGATCATTATATCAACAACAGCAAGGCATTGCGGGAAGGAATGTGCTTCATGATGGATCCTACAGTAGGAAAACGAGTTTGTTACGTTCAGTTTCCTCAAAGGTTCGACGGCATTGACAAAAACGATCGATACGCCAATCACAATACTGTGTTTTTCGACGTAAGCAGTAGTTAATGTTCATCTCTTTTTGTTTCCTAAGATTATTCATGCGATTGCAGATCAACTTGAGAGGTCTGGATGGAGTTCAAGGGCCTGTATACGTCGGTACGGGATGCATGTTCAGGAGGCAAGCACTTTATGGATACGATCCGCCGCCCAAGCAGAACGCAAAGGGTAAAGGAGGCTGTTGTGGTCCCCGCAAAAAATCGAAGGGCTCTAAAACGAAACAATCAGACAAGAAAACCAACAGAAGCGAATCAAGTATACCGATATTCAGTCTCGAGGGAATAGAAGAAGGCTTGGAAGGTATGCATTTGATTTTATTTATCTACTTCGCTGTTAACATGTGGTCACAGGTTATGACAACCATGAAAAATCATCGTTGATGTCTCAAAAGAACTTTGAAAAAAGATTCGGCCAGTCTCCAGTATTTGTCGCCTCAACGTTTCTGGAAAATGGAGGAGTTCCTGAAAGTGCAACACCAGCTTCACTTTTAAAAGAGGCCATACATGTTATCAGCTGCGGATACGAAGATAAAACTGACTGGGGGAAAGAGGTGAGTTTCTCGTGTTTTAAATGGCTCTACAGGCCTGATTTCCTTTTTGCCTTTCAGATTGGCTGGATATATGGATCTGTTACGGAGGATATTCTAACAGGCTTCAAAATGCACGCTCGCGGTTGGAAATCGATCTATTGCATGCCAGCTCGACCAGCTTTTAAAGGATCTGCTCCAATCAACCTGTCCGACCGTCTGCACCAGGTCCTGCGGTGGGCTCTCGGGTCAGTGGAGATTATGCTCAGTCGGCATTGTCCTATCTGGTACGGCTATGGTGGAGGCTTGAAACTTCTACAACGGGTAGCATACATCAACACAATAGTCTACCCCCTTACGTCCATACCTTTGGTGGCATATTGCACTCTACCGGCGATTTGCTTGCTCACAAACAAGTTCATCATTCCGACGGTAAGATTTCGTCTCTTCCACTCGCTTCTCATGTGTCTCAAGTGCTTGGCTTTTACGTGCAGATAAGCAACTTTGCCAGCCTTTGGTTCATCTCGCTGTTTGTCTCCATCTTCGCGACTGGTATCCTGGAGATTCGGTGGAGTGGGGTCGGCATTGACGAGTGGTGGCGAAACGAACAGTTCTGGGTTATTGGAGGCGTCTCGTCCCACTTGTTCGCCGTCTTCCAGGGGCTGCTCAAGGTTTTGGCGGGCATAGACACCAACTTTACGGTCACGACCAAAGCCGCAGAGGACGAAGACTTTGCCGAGCTCTACACCTTCAAGTGGACGACTCTTCTCATCCCCCCGACGACGCTAATCGTGATCAACATGGTTGGCGTGGTGGCGGGCTTGTCGGACGCAATCAACAACGGCTACCAGTCATGGGGTCCGCTCTTCGGCAAGATCTTCTTCGCCTTCTGGGTCATCGTACATCTATACCCGTTCCTCAAGGGTCTCATGGGACGCCAGAACCGCACCCCGACCATCGTCATCGTTTGGTCCATCCTGCTCGCCTCCATCTTCTCGCTCCTCTGGGTCCGGATCGATCCTTTCCTGCCCAAGGTTCGAGGTCCCAACTTGCAACAATGCGGCCTCAACTGCTAGCCCGAGCAGCAAGAATTCTCGTAGCAGCAGCCACCAAACAAAGTTGCCAGGGAATGGACTGGAGGAGGAACTTCTCTTCTTTTCCACGACGAACAGCCGACGAAAGCCAGGTTCTCTCTGTTTTGGTTTTCTTCACTTTTTCGAGTGTATACTAACGACTGTGAGGAAACAAACCACTTCGATCACGTAATAAGTTCTTTTTGCGGGCGTGGGACGAGCGAGAGAAAAGCTTCTGCGCTTGCACGGTAGCTCCGCCCGCTGTTTGTGTACTGTGCATGATTCGAAGCGAGGAATAAAAAGCGTGTCACACAGGCAGACGATTTTAGTGTCAGAAATCACGTCCACAAAATGGGACTTTTACCGGTTTGTTTGCTTGCTGTTCTTCGCAAACTTGTTCGCCATCCTTTCATTGTATTGTCTCTAGTAAACAATCATTCATTCGTTCTACGAGAGAAGAAGAATGGATTAACCATCGCCATCATTCACCAATACGATTAATATATTTCCTCGAGAATTTGGACGTTGAAGTTTCGAGCGTTTTGTTCTTGGTGTTCCTCCCTGGCCGACGACGATCATACCCTGTACATCAATCAAATCCCAATCAATGTCGCAGCTAATAGCTATCAACACAGCTAGCGTTAAGCGAGAGCCCCACTACTAATAAATATTTTCTCATCAAGCTCCATACTTTTCCTTCCCACCACCTTCCTTGATCCGGCGGCGCTATCGCCTGACGCGTGGCCCGAGGAGCAGCCGTGGCACGCTTTGCTCCACTCAATCCTGTCCGTCCGTCCGGTCCCGCGCCCGTCCGTTGGCGCGCCCGTCAGCCCGCCCGTCCTGCCCGTCAATGCTGCCAGCCCGGCCCAGCCAGCTCACCGCCAGTCAGTCATCATCCATGTCACAAGTATATAAACACCACCTTCCTCTTCTCCCTCACTTTCCCTCTCCTCTTCTAAAACCCCAGAGGTTTCTCGAGATTTCTCCATCCTTCCGATCCATCAGACCACTCCACCAGGAGAAGATCGAGGAAGGAAAGAAATTCCTCTAGCATTCCTCTAGCATGGCTGCCCTGCGATTGCTCGATCGCCCAATGCTCTTGATCTCGCTACTGCTCTGTTTCTTCGCGCTCGCCAATCTCGTCAATCCCTGCGCGGCCTCTCGCGGCATCGCCAATCGCCGCCACCTGAGCGCGCTCGTCAAGGATCCGCCGCTGGTGCTCGACTACCACAACGGCGAGCTCCTCTCCGGCGCTGGATCGCTCAACGTCTACGCAATCTGGTATGGCGACTTCCAGGACTCGCACAAGTCCGCCATCGCCGACTTCTTCGCCTCCTTCCAGGACCCCGCCACTACCGTGAGCAGCTGGTGGAAGATCACCTCCGGCTACAAGGACGCCTCCGGCGCCTCGATCTTCCCATCGCTGCGCTATGCGGGACACACCGACAACGCGGCCGCATCGCTGGGCCGGAGCCTCAAGCCCGCCGATCTCGAGTCACTCCTCTCCAAGTCGCTGGAATCCGCGGCCTTCCCGACCGATCCAAAGGCGCTCTACCTCGTCCTCACCGCGGCGGACATCGACGTGGAGGGATTCTGCGTCCAGTCGTGCGCATCGCATCGAGTTCTCAAGGCCGCTAGCGGCAAGAGCATCGCCTACGCGTGGATTGGCGACTCGTCCTCGCGCTGCCCGGGCAAATGCGCGTGGCCGTATGCCAATCCCAAGGATTTTGGAGGACCCGACACGAAGGCTCTGGTGGCGCCCAATGGAGTCGGGGTGGACGGCATGGTGATCAACATCGCGGCCATGGTCGCGGGTGCCACCTCCAACCCGTTTGGGACGGGCTACTTCCAGGGCCCGTCAACCGCGCCCCTCGAGGCCGTCACCGCCTGCCCGGGAATCTTCGGGCAGGGGGCATATTCCGGCTACCCCGGCCAGCTCCTGAGCGATGCAGGCACCGGGGCCAGCTACAATGCGCGGGGCAGCAATGCCAGGCATTTCTTGCTGCCCGCGCTGTGGAATCCTTCCACTCTCTCCTGCGCTTATCCTCCCTCGTGACGAGAACCTCGAGCTCCATCCGTCAATCTACACAGGTTCCAAATCTAAGAAACTTTCTTCAGATATAGATCAGCTATAGATTTTACACGAAACTTGAGAGAGAGGATCGCTCATAACCATGTTTAGAATGTACAAATCGCGGAGAAAGAAAAAAGTGAAAAGAGAGACACAGGGAGGAAACTATCTTCTAATACCAAAAGGCAATAAAAACGAAAAGAATGTGGTGCTGTTGTTCTTTTATTCTCGCAGTGTCCAGTTCCCAATGTAGTATAGTAGTAGTGCATTACTCGAAGACGGCACCTCTGTTGTTGCTTGGACACCCAGCAAAGCTCTGGGCCAAATCCATAGTTTTTTCTACTTTGGGTTTCTCAAAACAAGTTGGAACTGTTTGTCAAGCAGAGATGAGGACCACCAGCACCATCCTTCCAGAAGAAAGCTTTGTGTTTTCTAAGCTTCTTTGGAGGGGATTACTATCTAAAGGTGATCTGGTCCCCTCGCCACATCTATACCGACACAGTTTGAAACATTTCGGGTGGTATTTCAGCACCACGGATCTAACATATAGAAAGAGAGCTGCCTTCCAAACAATTGCTCGCAATCAGTCGAATAAGATTGGCTTTGCTTTGCTGATCGGATCGATCACTGCCTTTGTCTGTGATTCCCAATGCCCACCTCGCATTACATTATTGCGTGATTCCAGCAAAGAACACACAGGGCGCTGTGCACAAGTGTTAAAAAGGAAATTGGGAAAGCGACAAAGAAACACCAGCCCATAGCCGTGTTCAAGGATTTTGTGATCTCGCTCACACCAAGCAGAAGAAAGTTATGGTCAAAGCACTGTGGGAAGAAGTCAACGATGCATTCCATGGATAGTATTTTCTTGCCAAAACCCCACACCAACCGGCATTAGCAGGAAAGCAGTATTGCGCATCATACTCAGGTCTACAAGATCTTGGTAAAGATATTTTGCCTCTTTTCTCTTATAGAAGCCCATAAATATTGAGAATCAAGACCCTCAGAAGAGCCAGTGCTGGTACCATCCCATTGGCTGCTGCATGCATCCCTCGTGAGCGTAAACACAATTGACACACCAACAAAGTGCCAGCCTACCAAGTTGCCAGAAAGCTGATGTTAAATCATGTGAATTCCTGGAATATTTTCCAGGGGCACTTTCAGAAAATTGGCCGAAGTACTATTTCGAGGTGAAAACAACCGGATCCACCATGTACGGAAATTGACACTCCAACAAGAAAGGAATTGATGGGTTCATTCCATGAAGAAGCAGAGCTACAGGGACTTGAATGATTCACGACTTTCATTGAGTGAGTACGGCATGTGAAACAATAGAAAAACACCTCTGCTATGAAACGAGTTATAGTACGGCAAAGGCATTAAAATACTTGAGATCTTCAGGCAATATCCCGGACCACCATGGAAACGACGAACGGTGCGACGCACCTAACAAAGAAACGGCTGCCATTCTTGACCAAATCCCACAGCAGCAACCTTTGAGCACGAGCTCCTAAAGTGAATAAGCGATTTGAGATCGCCGACTCTTTTTCAACAACTTCCAGCTTATAGAACCCTTGCAATGCCAGAGATCACCTTGAGATCAACCCTGTAAATTACATCACAAGTATGGTGGTGCTTTTACCATCCGTTGCATCAAGAAGTCAATCCATGGTCAATCTATAATCTTGAAGGTTTTATCATGCAACTTCTGCCACTCTACAATCAAGATTCTTATAGCAAGATTCGTAGGAGTTACAATGGAAGAGGAACAACGCTGAATCCCCACACCAAGGAACTTGACACAGGTACAGCTTGCACCACTTTTCATGGCACTTACTGGACAATGGACATTGATGTCGTCACTGTCGTCCGATATCTGCTGGAAGCCTGCCATGATAGGCTCTTTAGACAGTTCCCCGGCTCACGGCGCCAAGTTGCCCATCAACGCACACGACTGGCCATGCCAGCAGGGTTTGCACGAGCCATGAACCTCAGTACGCTATCAATCTTCTTCTTACCATTGAACTTGGTCCTGGCGTCGTCTCCACAAGTGGTTTGCACAGACAAAACAATACCATGATTCAAGAGCAGCAAACTTGCTGATTGGCTGTTCCTCGTGATCCTAAACCAAATGCCAGCTTCACAAGTTGCCCGAAAGTTGACGTTGAATCATGTGATTCCAGGAATGATTTCCAGAGCACTATGTAGAATTTTATCATCCTAGAGTTTCATAGGACACCCTTTGAGGGTGAAAACATCAACTCGCACCGCAGCAGGCACTAACACTACCAAAAGAAGAAGAACCAATCCAGTACGGAAATTGACACTCCAACAACAAGGACTTGCACAAAGATGATGTGTCCTTCTATGAATGAGCCATGCTACACGGGCTTGAATGATTGAGTGGACACTAGTGTCGAATCCAAGCCACAAAGTCCGGACCCATCCTCCCTCGTCAATCGGACCAATTTAGTACGGCTGGTGTCAAGTGAGTGTCAAGCAAAAGTGGAGGGGTCAATAGAAAACGAATTCCGTAGTTAGACCTCCCTTTGCCAATGAAACGAGTTCGAGGCGAAGGTCTTCAGGCAATATCCCAGGACACTTGGGCGACGAAATTGGACCATGCAGAGAAACGACGAATCGGACGATGCACCTAACAAACAAATGCTGTCCTCTTCTGATCCGGTGAGATCAGAAAACCAAGAAGTTTCGGGCTCACGGGAGCTCGCTGATCCCAAACCGATGGATCAATCATTGTCAGTCGAATCATCCATGACCAGGAAAATTTGGCAAGCCAGCTTTTATTCTCGATCGAATCGAATTTGATGACGTTCGCTTCTCGAATCAGTCAATCGCCCGAATTACTTCTTTCCCGGCAAAAAGGTTTTTAAAAATTTGAACTTTGAATGCAAGGATATTCCCCACTCCACGTCAGCGATCCGCCTGACAGCTGGTGTCGATAAGCTCGCCGAGAGCAATCATTGAAAAACCACGCGCAGGGTAACGGGCGGCCCGATCGCGCTCTACGTGTCCCCCGTGACAACTGGCCTCCATCTTGACGCTACAGTTTTCCTACTGTGGCATTCACCATGGCGCCAGGACAGGTGTCAGACATCCATTGGCCTCCCCGAGAAATTCGAATGCCAGGAACTTACTTTTAGGGCTCCTGGGCGTGTGATGGAAGCTAAGCTATGGCTGGCGCCACCGCCACCGACGCACCACTCCTCCTCCTCCTCTTTGCTCCACTGCGCGACAAAGTGCCATTAGCTTACCTACATTGGTGGCGTGGCGCTTTGTCTCGAGGTATATAAATCGCTGCAGGGAAGACGAGCTCGCTCGTTGTTTGTTTAATTCCTCCGTCTCCTCTCTCTCTCTCTCTCTCTTCTGTCCAGGGATTCCAATCGATCTTCTGGCAAGAAATACTTGAATTCTATCGATTCTCCTGCCACGGATATGCCGATCGTCGCAAAGCTCGCGCTCCTGCTGCTACTGGCGATCGCGGCCAGGGCCGGCGCCGCCCCCTCGATCGATCGCCGCGCCACTCGCCAGCTCCAGGAGCTCGTCCCCACCGCGCCGCTCGTCCTCGATTACCACGGCGGGCGATTGCTCACCGGCCGCGGCTGCCTCATGGTCTTCCTCGTCTGGTACGGCGATTTCACGCCCGCCCAGCAATCCATCATCGTCGACTTCCTCCACTCCTTCAACGCATCCAACACGGCCTCGCCGTCCACGTACGGATTCTGGAAAATAATCTCCACCTACACGGACGCCACATCCAACCGCGTCAAATCCTCGGTGCGCCTGGGCGGTCAGATCTCGGTGGGCATTCCGCTGGGGAAGAGCCTCCACCGCAGCGACATTCCGCGCGTAATCGCCACCGCGCTGGCCAGTGCCAAGCTGCCAGCTCACCAGAAATCCCTCTACGTCCTCCTCACCGCCGCCGACGTGGCGGTGGAGCGCTTCTGCATGGACAGCTGCGCCACCCACTCCTACTTGAACGGCTCATTAGCCACGCGAGGACCCCGGCTTCCGTACGCCTGGGTGGGCAATTCGGCCACCCAGTGCCCGGGCATGTGCGCCTGGCCATTCGCGCTACCCCAGTACGGACCCCGAGATAGCCAGCCACTCGTCCCGCCGAATGCTGACGTGGGCATGGACGGCATAGTGATCAACCTGGCGCTCATGCTGGCCGGCGCCGCCACCAATCCATTCGGCGATGGTTACTACCAGGGTGACGCTAGCGTCCCATTAGAGTCCGGTACGGCGTGTACGGGAATCTTCGGTACTGGATCGTACCCCGGCTATCCTGGAGAGTTGCTCGTCGATAAAACCAGCGGGAGTAGCTACAATGCGCAAGGTTTGGATGGCAGGAAGTTTTTGCTGCCGGCTGTGTGGAGCCCCGGGCTCAAGCAGTGCTCCACGGGATTCTAAGATATATAGAGTTTCGCCAAAGTAACAAAAAAAAAGTTAGATACAGGATAGGTGGGTTTGAAGGAATGAGAAAAAACTTGTGAATCTTTGAAGGTTGTGACATACCCCATTTGGTTTGTTTCCTTCTGTTTTCCTGCTTCACGGGATCCTGGAAAGAAAGTTTCAAGTGAACTTGTACAGAAAACTTCTAAATGTTTATACTCATACCATTTGGTTGTGAAACTTTGCGAGATCCTGGAGAGGAAAGTTTGATCTAGAGTGAAACATGAAAGTTGAGACGGACATACCATGCTGATGTCATGACTTTGCGGGTGATGGTGAGTGTTGCTCCGGAGGATTCATCCATTCGAAGTACGTGCATTTGCCACCCTCGGTGAGCGTCCAGTTGCCGCAGGACAGGAAGAACTTGCCTTGGTTCGGCCCGGCCTTTCTCACAAGTCTCGTCTTGCACTTTACCCCGCAGTAGCAAAGGTTATCTGCGCCGACGGTGATGCTCGTCTCGTCGATGTCACTGCTGCGTGGAAGAGCCTCGAGGATTTTCTTCAGCTTTGGCATGAACTCCGAGCTGATATTCGTGATGGCTGGCTTCCGGGAGCTCTGATGCTGGGTGAACCCGATCTGCATCCCGCGTCTCACGAGCTCCATTGCAAGCGAGGCGGTGTTCTTCGCGTCATCGAGACCACAGTGCTCTCGCCCTTGCCATTGCAGCCCGGCATGCTGCACAGCCTTTTTCAAGTTGAACTTGTCGCCAAACTTCTCCTGGAAACAAGACTTGAGATTTATCCACCTGCAAAGAGTTATAAGTAAGCTCAGGAAAGGAAAGATCCAAGCACTGGCGTCATACTTGTTGAAGTAGGACGGCTTCGTCAGACCCTTCAGCCGGCACTCAAAATCGAGCATGACTTTGCAGTCCCAGTCCGTCCAAGTTATCACCCCAAATCTCTTGCTCTTGACGCCTTTATCTTCAAGCCACTTGTCATGCTTGACCAAAGCCTCGGCCAAAGCCATTCCATTATCAACCTGGACAAGAAAGAAAAAACCTATAGCGTGAGCACGGAGAAAAAAAAAACTCGAAGAAACGAACTAAACTACGAGCAAACGAACGAACTATTCTACAAGGAAAACGAACTAAACTACGATCAAAACGAACTAAAATACGAGCAAAGATGAAATAAACTACAAGCAAACTGCGAACTAAACTACGAGCAAAGATGAAGGGTGATGCATCGAAACCTGGGTCTGCTCAATACCGGTAAGCCGCTTGCAAAAATCCGTGAGCTGGGGATTGAATGTGGGCTTGACATACGTCTGGAAGCTATCCTCCACTGATAAAGAATGCACCGCGACCAGGACCGAAGGAAACTCGATGATCTCCTGCGGGAAGAACACGGTCGAGTCGCACGTTGCCTCGAAATCGATCACCACAAAGTAGTCGAAAGCCTGCTCCACAAGTTTCTGATCTATAGAAACTTCTCCATATTTCTTGGACGACGAACTTCTAGCGTTTTCTTTGATCTCTCTCTGTTCCTGCGAGGCCTCCCTCAAAATCTCGCCCACTACCAGGTCTCCTACACGGCCATCCTCCGGCAAAAAATCCCCAGGCGTCTTTCTAGCGCTATCCGCCGCATCTGACGAAGAAATCTTACACTCGACCGCTACTACGCTCGATTGGAATCGCAAGCCGCTATAGCCGAATCGCGCACTATGAAAACTATGCCCGAGGAGCCGTCTCGCTAGCAGAAGCTCGCGGCATATCACCATTCTCTCCGCATTCATGAGCGCTCAAGCCGCCATTGCGTACCTCGCGATTCATCCAGCCTCCATTTCCCAGCCAGACCTAGCCATGGCCCAAAAACCCTAAACCTCCGACTAAAAGAGAATCTTTTCAAATGTATGAATCGCACGGCTCACATTAAATCCTCAATGTAATTTTCCTAATTGGCCATGGTATTCGCGAGCAAATCCATGAAATCTTGCGAATTTATCACCTTAAGAGCCGAGCACAGCACCAAAACTTCGTGACGCTTCCACAATTCGGGGTGTCGCAAGTAATCCTTTTCAGATGTTACAGCAACTACGACCTCGCGAGTGCTTTTCTTCAGCTCTAAAATCTTTTCCTCCATAGCCACCATGTCCTGGAAGTTAGCCACGAAATCACCGAACATGGTTGGACAATACTAAGAAAAAATCAGCACACCTCCGCTTGAAATATATGGTGATCATTATAATCCAGTCTGTGAACTTCCGAAGGTCCAAGCTATCCATAAACGAAGTTCTATCATCGCCAAGGATTCGAGGTAAACTAGTGATACCTGAACGAGGCAGAGAGACATGGAGTCCGGGCATCCCACACCGGAGATGCAAACAACCACGGCACCCTCGACAGAAGTTAATGCAAGCGATCGATCTTGTGACGGGCAGAAAAACTGTTGCGGAGCCATCTCGGAGAAGGCAAAAACTGGCTTTGATCCATCCAAATGGCCTTCCAGGATGGATACAATGGCTCCGAGTCTTTTTGTCGAAACCTGAAAGAAAAGTACTCGTTACTGAAAGAACCGAGGTTTGGAGCTTACAAGGTTTGCGTGGTGAACGACGATAACTTGGGCTCGTCGTAGAGAATCAAGAGGTTCACGCAGAGGGCCCCAAGGGATCATCCTCTCGTTTCCAAACAGTGTCACGGCATTCACCATGACAATCTCAACGTCCCTTGCTATCCTGAGATGCTGTCAAATGCCAAAGAGAAGGAGAAAAGAAGAGAAGGAAAGTGAGACCTCGTCTATGCGAACTTAAGCAAACAAACCTGCATACCATCATCAAGAATGGCAACTCCAATCTCAGAGTTTCTAGACCAAGCCCGTGGATTGCCTCCAAAGTCGATCAACTTGGCAAGCGATCTTCTTCTGGCCGTGTCCTGCTTGCCACACTGCTCCAGAATCGAAAGCGCGGATTTCACCCTGTCAGCTCCAACTCCAAGCCTGACGGGAGAGCCTTGAAAATGCTTCCCCAGCATTCGAGCTTCATCCCCACCTCCATATCCCTGCTCAGTTCCAGCAAGATGAATGCTGGAAAAAACGAAACTAGAAGGTTGTACCCTTGTGAGAACAATTGGATTGATTCCAGCGTAAACGAAGCACCATGCAAGAAACTCCGCCATGGGTGTCTTCCCATTTCCGCCCCAAGTCACATTTCCAACGCTCACAACCGGCACCGGCAGTCTGGATGGAAGCGCAAGCTCTCTATCGAAACTAGGAGCGAAAGCAATTCAATTACCTCGTTGCCCGAAAAATTCCTGCATCGTAGAGCATTCGCCGGGCGCGCACCACTGCAGCGTACACCGAGCTGGACACCCGCAGTAGCGGAGAAATGCGGCGCTCCAGGAGCGGCAAGCTGCGGGCATCGGAGGCAGCGGCAATGCGCACGACCGCATCGCGCAATCGCTTCTTCTCCCGCGCTGCTATGATCATAAACCCTAAAAAAATAAAGATTTAGGGTTCTTGAGCGCAAAAGGCCTAGCGATGAAAATGTAAGCGCAACGTCTGCGAATCGTGTGGTGGGTTTGACTGGCTTGAATCGCTGTTGGGCAGCATCGAGGCGCACACTGGAATCCTCAGCAACCTCGAGGTGCTGGATTTGCTGCGCAAGCGAGGAGCCGACCAGGGTTTTGCGGGAGCTGTGAGTACCGTAACGCAGTCCGAGCTCAAGGTAAAGAAAGCCACAGAACTTGTGTGAGTAAGAGAATTAGAGAGCACTGATCGATCGATGGTTTTTGCGAGCTTCTAGGTGTACGACTATCTCATCCACACGCCCGCTGCCACACAGTCCCGAGAGAGCTTGGCGAAGCTATCCAAAGAGCCCCTGGCAGCCCGGCTACTCAGGCCGGAACGCTTGCAAGTCGCGAACTTACGCCCAGCTTCCGCTGTGGAAGTTCATCTGGTAAGACATCTCTTCACTCAGAGACAGAGACGAGAAAGATCTCTCTCTCTCTCTCTCTCTCTCTCTGGTAGACTCATCTCTCTGGCTCTTTGTCTGGTTGATCTCTCTCTCTCTGGTAGACGTATCGTCTCATCTTTCGCTCTCCTCTCTCTCGGTGGGAGTTCTTCTGGTGAGACGTCCTTGCTTCTTTCTCTCTCTGGTAGCCGTATCGTCTCATCTCCGGTATCGCTTTGGTAGACGTCTCGTCTCGTCTATCTCTTTCTCTCTCCCTCTCTGGAAGATCAGTAGCAATTTGCACCCAGGAAATGCAAGGTTCATGCACGAGACAGCCACTAGACATGGATCGACAGAAACTTTCATATATCTTTGTTTAGAGTCTCCAAGCATGAGCAGTGACGACCAGCTCTGTCAAACAGATTGTCGAGGATATCCAAAACAGGTTCACCGACGAGGAAGTGGAGGAGCTCGTCAGCCGCGTGAACCAAGTACTGCCCGCGCCCGCTCCATCTTCGGCTGCTCCTGAGGCACAAGGGGCAGCAGCAGCAGCGCTTGACATCGATCCGGATGATGACGACGCCCAATTAATGGACTGGACGACGCAGCCAACGCTATAAACTCCGGAGAGCAAGGGAGGACTTCCGTCACAGAGAGAGAGAGAGAGAGAGAGAACTATTCCTTGCTCTGATTTTGATATATAGATTTGATCCTGTCCTCCATCTTTGTAGCTAAACTCCACTCCACTTGAGAGAGACACAGAGAGAGAGAGAGAGAGAGAGCTATTCCTTGCTCCGATTTTGATATATAGATTTGATCCTGTCCTCCATCTTTGTAGCTAAACTCCACTCCACTTGAGGAAGAAATTGGAAGAAGGGGAATAAAAAACTGGACAAAGGAAGAGGGACAGACAGACAGAGCTAACAGGTTCGCTGTGTTTGGTGCGTGTGTAGGTTACAGAAGCAGCAGCAAAACAGAGCAGTGTATGCGACAGAGCACGATATGGATGAGAAGAAAACAAGAGTGGAGACTTCGCCGGATGATCCAAATCCAAAGCACCGTCGCTAAGCAAGCGCAAGCGCAGTCGCGTTAGCTTAGTCGCGTAATCCGGGGGGGCGACGGTGGCGGTGGCGGGGCGTGTTGTGATGATGGATGGATCGCAGTTTCCTCATGAGGCAAGCAAGGGAAAAAAGGAGCGAGCCAATTGCAGCCACGCTCGCCAAGGGCCAACATTGCAACAAACAAAAGCGAAAACCGAAAGGCCAGCAAAGCCAACTAGAGCTCGCTTGCAGCTCGCTCGCTCGCTTCGTATCGCTTTTGCCATCGCCCAAAAGCGGTGCGTTGTGTTTTCCCGGCTAGCGTTACGAGTTTTAATGGTACCAGCAGCGCGCAGAGCCTTATAGCGACACTCGTGACACGGCGGCGAGCGAGAGGTGCGCGAATGAGATGTGCACAAAGTGCAAGTTGCAAGTTGCAAGGCCCCGGGAGAGCGAAAGTTTCTCGCTCCGTCGCAGAGGAAAAAGATAAACGGCGAAAAAGCGCGGGCTGGCCGCTTGCGCGCTTCAGGTTGAGGGATCCAGATCTGAGAACGAAACAGCTCCGCCCGCGCGCAGAATCAGAGCAGAGGAAAATTTTGCGATCGCGGTTTTATCCGCCCACGCACGGTTCCTTCCTTCGCACGCGCCAAGCGCGCGAAACCAAACAAGCGCCAAGAACCCTAAAAAACAGGGGGGGGCCAAAGAGTACTACTGTTTTTACGGTTGGAAGACAAGGATTTTCTTTTACTTTTCTTTTTCTTCCTCCATCTTCTTGACGAGGAATCAAACAGAAGCAAGAACAATGCGAGACGCTTCCGGCTCTTGCACTCCACGCATGAATCCGGCAATCCTAGCTCATCATCGCCGTCAGCGGCAGCAATGATCCACCTCCCTCGTCGCCTCCTCCGCTTCTTCTTCTTCTTCCTGGATCGATTCTTCTTCCTCCGCCGGGGCGGCGGATCTTTCCCGCATTGCCAAGGGCGGCGATCGGATCTGGAGGAGGAGGAGGAGCCGGGGGGGAATCCAATCCGGTGGCCTTCTTGTTGGAGCAAACTCGCGCGGTAGAATTTCGGTTGTGGATTCGTCCACGCCCAAAACTCGTAACAGAAAACCAAACCGCAAGAAGACGAAGAAGTCGAGGAAGAAGAGGCCTCTTCCTCGGCATGATCCACCGGCGATGATTCCAAACTCCTCACACCCTTTTCTTCTTCTTCTTCTTCTTCCTCTTGATCTTCCACCTCGAGCTCCACTTCCACCGCTTTGCGCTCATCATCATCGCTGCTGGCATCGACAACCTCGCCATCCTCCCCGGACTCGAAATCCGAGAGGAGATTGAATGGGTCCGGGAGATTCCAGTTGTTTCCCCCTTGCGGCGATCGCACAACGATCCACTTGCCCCCCGCGGAGCTCGGGCTCATCCCCGGATCGCTCCCGTGACCCTGATCATCCCAGTTGCCGCAAACTTCCAATCTGGGACGAACCAATCGCCGCCTCTCCGCGACTCCTTTCTCCTCCTCCTCCTCCGCCACCACCGGCATCTCCGCCAGGAGCTTGGTAATCTGGACGCTGTCCAAATCCCCTGCGCTAGCTCGCCGCGGCGCCGCGATCAGCGACGGCGATGGCGATTCCATGGCCTCCATCACAAATGGGTGCTGGAGGAGCTGGGCGCTCGTCCACCGCTCCCGGGGATCCCTCCTCAGGCAATTCATCACGAAATCCTTGCCCTGCTCGGACAGCCACCGCGGCAGCTCGGGCAGCTCCTCGCTACACCCGATCCGGTAGAGCGCCGAGAATGTGTGCTTGACATCGCCCCAGGGCGCGCGGCCGGTGATCATCTCCAGAACCGTGCATCCCAGCGACCAGATGTCCGAGGCCGTGCCCTGTTCTTCCTGCCGGACCACCTCGGGCGCCATCCACAGCGGCGTCCCCTTGATCATGGGCGATTGCTGGTGGTGCTGGTAGGGGGCGGCGCCGCTCAGGCGCTTGGCGGCGCCGAAGTCCGCGAGCTTGACGCCGGTGGCGCCGACGAGGACGTTCTTCCCCTTGATGTCGCAGTGCACGATCCCGCGCCGGTGGAGGAAGTCGAGGCCTTCGAGGATCCCCCGGGTGTAGATCCTCGCCAGGGATTCGTGGAGCTTGCCGCCCAGCTTGGCCATGAGATCGGCGATGCTGCCGCCGGGCATGTACTCGAGGAAGACGCTGCGCACCGGCTGCCCCGATTCCGCCGAGCTCGACCACGCCGATCCCAGGCACTTGACGATCCGGGGAGAGGATTGGAGGCTCTGGAGGATCGACAGCTCGTTTTCCAGCGCCAGCAGCGCGCCATCGCTGGACCGCCCGCCGCTACACTCGGTCGATTTCACCGCGAACAGATCCCCTGTTTCGTTGTCCACCGCCAAATTCACGCTGCCGAAGGCCCCCGCGCCGATGAGACCGCCGCACACCCACGACCTCACGACCCGATCGGCCATAGCCGTCAAGAACGAGCGCCAACGCTCTTCACTCTTCTCTCGCTCAGTTCTTTCTCATTCGAGGGCTTGAAAGAAATATACGACGAGAAAAAGAGTTAAAAAACCAAGCGGGTTTACTTGCCCTTTTACCCCCTTGATCCACCCCGAATATTTTGGGGAATCCGACCGAAGGCACTCCTTCTCTGGCGGGGAAAAGCATCAGGATAGATTCGCCGCCACGCTCAGGTAATGCGTGCCACGTGGCGGGCCCGGGTTCGTTTCAAAGGGCCAACGCGGCTCCCATTGGACGGCAATTGGCGGCGGCTCTCTTGATTGGCCACTCGGCACAAAGATCAACCACTGTACCTACCAGTGGCCGCGCCTCACCGGCTTTTAACAGGGGGAGGCTCTGTTTTAGGGCGCAGCAAAGGACGGCAGCCAATAGAAACGATTACACTATTACACGACGTCTGGTGTGGTGGTGTGGAAAGATTCGATTTAGATGCTTGCTACATGGCCATGAAGGGAACTGGAAAGATTCGATTTAGATGCTTGCTACATGGCCATGAAGGGAACTACGTGCGAGAGCGTGAGCTGTGTTTTCTGTGTCGCCACTCTCGCGCCAGCCCAGCCTCAATTCCACCGGTGGACGGGATGGACGAAGGTGGTGCGCTCCTCGTCGAGGTAAATTGATCGAAGATTTCTTCTGCTATCTATATCTGCAACAAAACAAACCACGCCTCAAAGCAAGGAATTAAAAGCAAAAGTAAATTAAAAAAAATTAAAGAGAAAAAAGGACGAGAAAAAAACAAAAAAGTAAAGAAGCCCCTTTGGCGCTCGTGTGCTTGCTTGCTACGGGTCAACTTTGCTGGGACTTTGCTTCACGTTAAATGACAGGGTAACCCCAGCGCAGCTTGATTGAAATTTTCAGAGGAGCGCCATCGCAAGCTAAGAATGGCAAGCTTGTTGGGGATAAGACGAAAAGGTCCGACGCTCGCTTTTCACGAATATAAACAGAGAGAATCAGATATGGATTTACCAAAATCGCGAGCTACCAATAGTGTTGGCAACAATCGTGTGCCATATTTAACAAGCGGACGATTAGCCAATCACACGCCGTAAACTCTTCCCCGCCGTGCGCGCCAATGCCGAGCAACTGCCAATCACAGTGGCCGAGGGCCCAATCCAATTGGCCCTGGCGCGTAGCCAATCACGGGAAATAACGACCGGAATTGTCACAATGCCAAGCAAAGTGCAGCGCATGTAGAAGAGCAGAATTGGGCGCTTGATTATAAGAGAGAGAGACAGCGGCAGCGGTGGTTCTGTATATTTTTAGGTTTCTCAATCACGGTAGAGTGCATGCCAAGCATGAACAAGATATTTCCCTTCCCCAGAGTTTTCTAGTTTTTTCCCCGAATAAAAGTGTATAAAAAAGCATTGTGGGAGAAAAACTTGCCTTGAAGGGGCATCCAAAGAGAGAGTGCTTTGTGCCGGTGGCGTGTCGGTCGAGGCACGACGGTGGTGGTATTTTTGTGTGTATAACAAGACTTTGATCTCGCGCTAGGCTGGCTTTCTATTGCTATATACGTTTTTGTCTGTGCCGCCGTTGTTTACACAAGCAATCGCCTTGCTTGTCTTGTTTCTTCCCGCCAGAGTGAGCCGAACCAGCAAACAACAGCGATTTAACAACGAAAGAGATAACGCAAGCCCATGGATCACAGCACAGACATTCCAGCTCTTTGTGTTGTCCACGCATAATCGCCCCCCGCCCCGGCAATTGCGAGCCCAGAAATCCCAAAAACAAGCAGAAGGGAGGCCTGGACGGACGCGATCTCGGCGAAAGCATATATAGTGTTTTGGGGTGCGATTAAAATACGAGGCCTTTGGCCGGTTAGTTGCGGCGCACCGCATTTAAGCTTAGACAAATGGCGTTGCATCATCGATATATGGAATAGAAAATCTGCCGGCCAGTGGGACTCGCTTCCTGAGTTGTATGGACTTTAGCTTGGGGGCTTGCGGCAGCTTTCAGTTAGGTTAGGGGCCAATGTTTCCTGGCTTTTGAATTTTAAGCCCCTTTTTCAAAGAATTTATGCTTTCCTTTCTTTGGTGTTAGCTTAAAGGTCTCTTGTGCGCGCGTGTGGTGGAGGATGGCTTGTCCATTGCTTGCTCTTGTCACAAGTTGATGAATGGGGCAAGAAACATGAAATTCGGTGACGAGTACCAAGTTAGGTCACCCTCGCAAGAAAAAAAAAGAAAAAAAGAAAAACGAGCAAACGAACGTTAGGTGGTGGTGGTGGAGATTGGTTAATTAAAATCGGGTTGGCTTTGGCTTTCGAGAGTTTGAAACTTCAAACTTGCCACACCTAACCCCGCGAGTGTATGCGCATATCCCTGGCGCCAATTTGGGTGCCCCCGCGCGCGCGAGTGACGTCGGAGATTCGTCCTGTGTATCCAACAAGAGAGCCCTAGCGAAGATTGGATGTAAAAATCGGAGCCAATCGAGCCATCAATCGCAATCCCGGAACCGAAGCGGCGGGATCCATGGAATACCAATCTTGCGCTCGACATTGCAACTGCAAGAGGGATCGATCAGGGCGTGCGAGCGGAATCGCCACCATCGCCACTTGCCAAACAAAATCAAACGAGAATGAGTGGGACAATGAATCCAACGAGCAGAGGCACAACAGCACGCACGCACGCACACATACCACAAGCAGCACAAAAACGAGAGCTACACGGTTTTCGAGTGTCAAATTGGTGCCAGTATCTTTCAGACTTGGAGTTACAACAGCGCGGGGGGAATATCTCGCGGATATTCCCCCCGTGGCTCTTCTGCTAGCCAGCTTGATCCGGCCTCGGCTTCTTGGAACGGTTGCCGGTGGCGGCAGCCGAATTGATCGTCCGGTTCTCCCAATCCCCGCAAAAGCCCTCGCGATTCCACCCCTCAAAATCGGCAAATCCCCCAAAAACAGGGGAGTTGCCGACGATGATCCGGAGGAACTGGGGCCGCAATCCGATGATTCCGGCTCTTGGGCGACTCGCAATCCGCTGGCAATGCCGCAATCCTGCGGCTGCTCGATCGAATTCTCCTCGTCCTCGGCCTTGGAGACGGCCTTGGAGATAGCCGGCGAAGCTGAGGCTTGCTCTTCCTCCTCCTCCTCGAGCTCCTCGGCGAAATCCGAAAGGTGCTCGAACGCATTCGCGGCGGGTGGCTGCCCCTGCGGCGATCGCACCACAATCCACTTGATGTCTTCCTCCAGCCTGGGCAGGTCGCCGGTGGCGCTGCTCTTGATCGAGAAGAAGCGGGAGAAATCCAAGGGGCTCCTCGGCGATATGGGCGCCGCCGGCGCTGCCTCAATCTTCTCCTCCTCCTCCTTCTCCTCCGCCGCCATCTCGCCGCTCACAAAGGGATGCCGCAAGAGCTCCTCGGCCGAGGCCCTGGAGCAGGGATCCCGGCACAGGCACTTGGCCAGGAAATCTCGCCCAGCGCTGGAGACGAAGCTGGGCAGCTCCGGGATCTCGTTGGAGCAAGCAATCTTGTACATGGCGACCATGGGGCTGGATCCACTCACCGCCTCGCCCCATGGCGCCTTGCCCGTGAGCATCTCGATCACCGTGCAGCCCAGCGACCAGATATCCGACGCCGCGCCCTGTTCTTCCTGCCTCACCGCCTCGGGCGCCATCCACAGCGGCGTCCCCTTCACTCCCCCGGCCATGGATTTGGCCCCGACCCTCTTGGCCGCCCCAAAATCCGCGAGCTTGACACTCTCGCAGCCGACGAGGATGTTCTTCCCCTTGATGTCGCAGTGGACGATCCCGCTCTTGTGGAGGAATTCCAGGCCTAGAAGGATTCCCCGCGTGTAGATCCTCACCAGGGACTCGTCCAGCTTCCCGCCCAGCTTGGCCATGAGATCCGCCAGGCTCCCCCCGGGCATGTACTCGAGGAAGACGTTCTTCATCGCGGGCTTGCTGGGCTCCGCGGCGGTGTCGTCGCCGCCAAGGCACCGGATGACCTGTGGGCAATCCAGGCTCTCCAGGATCTGGCGCTCGTTCTCCAGAGCCGCGATCTCGCCGCTGTTGCCCATCTCCGCGGATTTCACCGCGAAGAGCGAGCCATCCGCCCTGTTCACTGCCAGGCTCACGGTGCCAAAGGATCCAGCGCCGATTGCCTTGCCCCTGATCCACGAGAAGCCCTGTTTCTGCTGCTGATTCTCCATCGCCATCGCCATCGCTGCTGCTAAAGCTCAAGATCCAAGATCGAGAATTTTTCCTTTCCCTCCTTTTGATTTTCCCCCTCTCTTGAAACACACCACGAACTGGTCTAGGGATTTGGAAGGAGGGGCGTGGCTTAAATAGAGCCGGGGATAAAGGCAAGGGAAAAGGTTAAAAGGCAAAACTCGTGGGTAAACTGGGCAAAAGTTTGAAAAAAATTTCCAGTTTGGCCCAACGGCGGGCGGGCGGGCTGCTACAGTCTCGGGCAGTCTGGGCAGCGACCCGGACACCGCCAATCACGCCCCATTTCGCATTGGCGTGACATCGCGGGTAGCTGGCCCGGGCAGCACGTTATTGGCCAGTAGCATCCCCCCGGGAATATGCTAATTTTCTGGGTTGGCGATATTTCTTTTCTTTCCATGACTGGGTGGCCTCGTGCCTTACTGTTCTCGTAGCATGATTTGCACATGGATGCCACTGGGTCCACAATGTGGGCATTTCAAACCAAAGCTATGGTACGGGTTAAAATCGCTTGCGTGGTTCCCATCCGGTGGCTGGATATCACCACATGGGTAACTGGCATACCCATTTCTTTCACGTGGAGCTGATGCAAAGGGAGCTGCCAGGAAAGGGGGTGTCTGGCCTTGGCGCAGCTTCCTTGGAAGAAGCTGGCTCTCTTGGATCGCGAGGAAGGCGCTAGGAAGCTCGCATTTTATCACGTGGTGGTTGTCGAGGACGATAGCGTCTTCCTGGGCAGCTTCCCGCGAGTGAGATCAAGGAGGAACGAAACTCTCTTTCTTGTCGCGTTAGGGGGACCTTTCCAATCCAAGGGCTTGGATTTCGATCACATGGGCGCAAAACTGACCCTCGCGGGAAGCTTCCCGCCACGAAGGTGGACCAAAAACTCCTTGTAAGATCTTTTTGTTGTCACGCAATCGCAAGGTCACTTGTTGGCTTGAATGGTGTTTGTTTTGTTTCGCCTCGTCCTTTTGCAAGACCCTGTGAAGCTTCTATGGCAACTTCGCTGGTGGAACTAAACTCCTCAAGAACTACTCTATATCACAGTCAATTTGAGAATGAGCACCGGAAGTATCGAATCGAAGGTCAAGTGGGGTCTCTTTAAAGATCCATTCCGCCAAAGTCCTCTCCTATATCACACCGCCAAAGCGTTGGGGTCATTCATTCCTTGTCCTAGGCAATATTGACCGCCCCTTTCTTGTTAGATTGTTTGGAGCTCTCCAAAAGACTTGAATTGTGAACAGTCCTAAGCCATCCCGTGAAGGGTGTGAAAGGCGAAACTTCGAGGGGAGCTTCGATGCAGCTGCAAGCAAAGCTTTTCTCTGCAGAGAAGCAAATCATGTCGTGGCATTGTTATCGAAAAGAAGGCAACCTTTCGGTCAATCATGCAGGTGAGAGAGTGGACTAAGGGGTAGCCACGAGCAAAAGTCAGCCCGTTGACAAATGGCCTACAGTGGGGGGGCTTGACAAAAAGAAAGAGAAACGAAAAGAGGTGCATGACTCCACTAGTGGAACACTGGACGCGCCCACGCCTTGCATTAAAACGACGCCTCTTGGGCACAAAAGTGGTGCCCGGCTGGGGCATACGCGGCACAAACGTAAGATCCCACACTATCTCGCATCTCAAACATGCCAGCACGATATATGATGCGCTCGCTTCTCGGGGGAGATGAGATGTTTTTCCAGCCCAGGTTGCTGCGAAGGTGGCCCGCGTCCATATCATCCCCCACCACGGCGATAACATTTGGCATCAAGGACCGCTCACACATTCTTTTATAGAAGATGAGGTCGCCAACAGTGCGCACGAAGAGGATTTCGCCAACAGTGCCCCCCCGGGACGATCTGGTGACGATACAGGTGGAGAGTTGGAGACGAGCTCCATGGCAATAGAACTTGGGTGGCTGGCTGGCTGGCACCGCCCACACACAGGATCGCAAAGCGTCTTAAAAAAACAAAGGGATGATCTTCCCAGATCACAGGCCAAGTGTCGAGAGAAGCACACAACTTTCCAAATGTCCGGTATCCGAGCGAGAAGTTCCCATGGCGACGGGTAGCTTGGCTCACGTCTTTACACTTGGCTCGTCATCTTGGATTCGCTGCACCACCAAACGCCGTGTAACAGAGGTTGAGTGTGTCATGCCGGCATCACTTTTTTTGTGTGTGGCCGGTCAATACGAGTTGAATTGTTTGACTGGCTTTTGGCTGCCTGGACCAATGAGATGGGCACACGCACCTCCTGGACCCAGCGTTGTTCTAACCAGTGCGAAACAGAGCAAAGAGTTAGATCGATAATGAATGAAACTTCAACAGGGGAGCCAACACAGCAAGATTGATTGCTGATACATTTTAGTTTGAAAATCATTTAGGATATCTGGTCATATTTTTGTAAAATTGTTCCTGATAAAATAATGGTTTGCTTATTTATTATAATACTTATTATTAATTATCCAGCAGTTTCAACCTAAGTTTAATTGGTGATTCTGGAAAAGTGTCCATGATTTGGATATGACAGCTACATTCTCTTGGATCCACAATTCTGACTTTGCAAGCTGAGGAATACTTGATCTGTGGGATGGGAAGCTTGTAAACAAAGATTTTACAAGCATCTCCACCAGCCAAAACACATGCAAGTGAGAGATAGAAACACCCAGAGAGCATACATGCTTTCTCATTGATTAGAGGAGTGATGAAGTGTGTGCACACGAAGAAAAGAGAATTCATTAGTGTTCCACAGTACATATAATTTAATAACACAAGATTAATCTATATATATATATATATATATATATATATATATATATATATATATGCTAGAATATTCAAGAGTATTTTAGGTATATCCATTCACTGCTTAACCAAACCAAAAATAAAAACTTTGATAAGTTCTTCTCTTCTGCGATAGCTAGTAGCTTTTCATTTTATATCAAAAATAAAAATAACTTAGTTATATTTTTGTGCTAAGAATATATAAATTTTGATTATATCAGATGGTAAGTATTGACTTATAACTAATATATAATTAATCTAAATAATAATATATATATACAATAATAAAATAAGTACATAAGCCAAAATTTAATATTTATTTTAGTTTTTTAATTTATTTTAATTGGATATAATCTGAAAAAAGGATAGAAATTATTTTGGTCTTCTAAGAACAAGTTAAATAAATTTTCTAATGAGGTTTTTTTATGTGTTTCAGTTTTACGTTTATTTTATTTATAATATTTTTATTATATTGAAATTATTTTTTAAATTTATTAATTATATTTTAAATTATAACTAAATTTAATTAATTTATATAATATAAATTTTTTGCTAAAATAAATAAAAATGGCACCTATCAAACAGATTATAGAAATTCATTATCTTCTGACATTAATGTTGCTCTCACACAAGTGCAACATACACCAATTAATGATTAATTTTGTGAAAAATGAAATACATGAATTGCAATTCTTTAATATTTAAAGCAGTTAATAAAAAACATAAAAATGACAAAAATGATACATATTCAAATTTTTGTCAAATCAGTGTTTACAATTATAAAATTCAATATTCTTTATTCTCTTTTAAAAATATTTTAAACTTATTTTTATTATTCATTTAACTACTAGTTAAAATAAGATATTTTACAACCTTAAGTGCTAGATTTACAATCTCTAAATAAAATAAACTATATTATTAGTAGAATCAAGTTTTAAGATATCACTTAATTTTTGGGAGAATATTTGATGGAAAAAAGTATTTATGCTTCTTTAAACTTCAAAATGATGGTAATCTTGTTTTTTTCTCTATGTAAAATAGAGCATTAATCACTAGTGTTCTAACAACAGTCCTAATTGTTTTCTTCACTTATCTTACAAAATAATTGTAATTTAGTATCTTACATAATACATATTTATTGTCTAGTAATTATCAATGCTTAAAGATAATTAAAATTATGGTTAACTTGCAAATCTTCAAAAGTTCCATATAATGTAATTATAAGTGGTAATAGTGATACTAGCAGTCTTAGCCTAAGTGATCTCTTAAGGTTCTCACTTCTGGACTTTGGACAAGATAATAGATCTGGAGAAAAGAAAATTCCCTTTACAACCACAACATTTGAGATTTTATCTTCCATTTAGTTTGTAATTACTATTCAAATGTTTATCATAGATCATGGACAAGTGATACTCTTAATAAATCTCAGGGTGTTAACCATTCTCAAAGAAATGCCATGGCCATCAGAATGGAGGGCTAAGGGCAGCTTAAGTGTAAGAGAGTAGGTAAGTAACACTTTTAAGTGGTCTTAATGGCCTGTATTATTATGGCTGATTTCAATATATATCCTGGAGTTCACACACCATCAATAGAAAAGCTATTACTATTAGCTATTAGAATACTCACTAAACCTGATTTATATTTAACATGAAACAAATTTTAAAAACAATAAAAAATAAATTGTCTGGACAAAGGTAATTTCTCTTTGTCACGCCAGTGCCATTTTCAACTTCATGACCAAGAGACCAAGAACAAAGTGCAAACCGTCTTGGCAGAAAGTCTACCAATTGCTACTGAGGGCTACAGGGGGCTATGCAAATCCAGCCCTTGGTGACTGGACCAGGAACTTCTCACTACTGGACAGAAGTCTGCTGCGAGCACCTTTCCAATCATCCAGGTATCCGGGTTCCATGGCATTGTAAGTTTCACGAAACTTTGGACGGATTCGAGCTCCCGAATGGAACAGAATGCGAGCACGTCCATGGTGAGGGACGAGCACTTCAGGCAGCGAGGCATCAACGAGGACGCAGCACCACTGAAACTTAAGGATTGTGGGCACCTTCTCGTGGACCACTTTGGTAGTGAGTTTGAGAAGCAGCTGAACTGTAAAGAGCTTTAGAATGTCACAAAGACAGCATGGAGTTTGAAAGAATTTGGATGTTTAAAAGAAACAATTCATAGGCCTAAAGACAATAATTTTCAGAAATATTTTAAATCTAAGGTAATTGTTTCTTGGCATTTTATACAACCCTTTTAAATATAGCATCTGGAGCCTTTATATGGCAGACTAAGAACAAGTTTTATGGA